AAAGTGATACCCGGGCAGAAATCAAATACGGCAATTTTTTATGCCTGACATGGCATGACTAGGCAAGCCATAAGAAGGAATTTCAAGTGGTGCTTATCCCCGGTCGGAATGTGGCAATTGTCGTTGCGATATTTTCCGGATTATATCCTGACCAGCGATGACCAGTGATTATTTGGATACCTGATTTTTTGGGTCCTGATGGACATTTCATCAGGTTTCTCGATTTCAGGCAATTTTATCAGGGCATTCACTCCTTATTACGTGCCGGATCCGATAAAGTTATCCGGGCCTTGTTCGAAGTTTGGAAGCCGGATGGGGTTTTCATACGGCCGTGGAACGATGTTCTGCTCGGGTAATTGTCATTAGAGTTCATCCTGTACACAAAGTCTAAGCACGACTAAAATGCAGCGCGATAAAACAGCAGAATTGGCTCGCTAGCGTGCCGCCAGCCCGTCTCTCCCTTGTCCGCATGAGCGAGAACGGTGAGAGGGTAGCGGAGATTTCTTCGCGCTGCCAAATAGACCGAAGGTAAACAAAGCCTTGATTCGATTCATCGAATACGGGAAAATGACTCGAAGCAATCGGATTTAAATTAAGGGGAATGGAGGGTCAGATTACTGAAAAGTCGTGCTTGTTTTTGATAATGATTTTCTGACGAACTGAATAAATGTGCGAGAATGAAAATTTTACATATATTTACATAACATATGAAGAGTAGAAACATTTTGTTTTTAAACAAATATTCATATAAATATATTGTCAATATTGACACGTCCACTTAAATTTTAAACGCGTTCTTCTCGAAATTTTATTGTTCAACATTTTGCAATGATTTCTCCTACTGAGCTTCGTATCGATTTGAAATTTTAAAGCAATAATGTTTGTTCATGTGGCTCTCAGGTGAACCATGGACAACTCCGTCAAAATATTTCATTTCGGGATATTAATCTTTTTATTGTAAAAGAAATGAAGAATTTGAATTTTTTCCTAATAACAGCTGCCAGTTTGTTAATTTTGTTCGATTTTTTTTTCTACTGGTTCACCGGATAACGATAAGATCCTCCTCAAGATTTCTAGCTAAAATTCGCTCTGATCGGACCATCGGAAGCTGAGATATTACTGCAAAAACGATAATTTAAAAAAAAAAAGGAGAGTATATTTCAGCTATATATATATCGTATATTTATACGAATATTTGTTAATAAACAAAATTTTTCTACTTTTCATATGTTGTATAACTATACCTAAAATTTTCATTCTCGCACATTTATTCATTTCGTCACAAAATATTATCAAGATATTATCAAATATTAATATTTTCAAAGACAAAATATTATCAAAAACAAGCATAATTTTTCAGCAATCTCTGGTCCTCCAGTCCCCTTAAATTCTCGCTTTCGCGAACGATGGCGCAACGAAACCTCACAGAATAGCTTGCCTCCACGGAAATATCAAGAGGGTCACGTCGTGTTATCCCGTTCACGATGAAATCTTAGTCGTTATTGTCGTTGGATACTTTACGTATCACCGTTTACACGTTCGAGATACAATCGAATGCCGCATCATTGTCGCGCGACGTTGAGTCAACAGTGACAACCGTCACCAACCGACGTCTCGCGTGACATTTAATGTTCCGCGAAAATGAGTCTCGCGGGAATCGTATTTAGTCTTAATTAGGAAGCGGGATGACATTTGCATTCGCGAAATTCTGATGTGTCGGAATGTACTTGGAACTATTTACTTATTCTACGTTCTCGTCGTGCCTTCATTATCGCGAAGATAAGACAGACCCGTACTCACGTCATCCCATATCGTTCAATTAACGACACTTTATCAGCATGTCTGGCATGCATCTGGCGCTGCATTTTAGTTGCGCTAGATCTTTTTTTTAATTCTCTCGTCATATATATCTCTTCAGAATTGGCTCTAGCCTGATAAAAGCTACATATCGATCGAGATGTTATCAAATTGCTTGCACAATTACAAAAAAGTTGACTGTTCGACTGTTGAAGTGTCAGTAATTGAAAGCGACTTTTCCTGATTGATTGAAAATACCGGTATGACGTATTATTTGTACGACATATTTTGTCATAATTCAAAATTGACATTTAACCCAAATTTTCGATTCTCGCCTCCCATCACGAGACTAAATTTTTCGATGATATTGCCCCACGAGAGGCAACTACTTAAAAAAATCAAGAGGAGTCCCCTCGCCACGCTGTATAAATATAAGTCGCCGAGAGCGCTCCTCTTTTTTTATCCTCTTCACTTTAGCCGCGATTCGGCGATTTCATTCGTGCCAAAGTCCCCGTGCAAATTCGTGAGGGGTACGTTCATGCAGCGTGATGGGTGAAGCGCGACGCGAGCCAGAGCGGGAGGAGCGAGACTCGCGGATCCCCCTAACTCGCTAAATAAACATTCGATAATGAAGTAATTAGATGGGCTAGTTCGTTAAATACTGACATAAGGGAAATCAAGAAACTCAAGGACGCAATTAAACGACTCATACCTCGAGGTCACGCGCGACCAAGCGGGTATCATCGTTCCGCTGCCGATATTTCTTTTGATCTGTCGAGGACGCGAGTTGTCTAGACGAATTGTTGAACACGCCGGCGTAGTACTCTCCAGATGGCGTAAGGCCGAAGGGAGACAGAGGCGGGAGAGCAAGAGAGAGAGAGAGAGAGAGAGAGAGAGAGAGAGAGAGAGAGAGAGAGAGAGAAAGAGAGAGAGAGAAAGAGAGATGCATTAAATGCCGAAGCATTTGATGTCAAAGGTGGCAAGACAGAAGGACGAGGGGTCGGGTACATAATAGCCGAAGTAGAAGGAGACTCGATGGAGGCAGACGCTCTTCGCGGAAAGGATTAAAGCGGCCGCGAGATCAAAGGGATAAGTAGATCTGTCGCCGGCAGAAACCTCGCGGAATGCAATCGATCGCGGCGAAAATCGTAGAACCCTCTTCAATTGCCTTTTGCCTCCCCCCCCTCTCTCTCTCTCTCTCTCTCTCTCTCTCTCTCTCTCTTTTTCTCTGCCTCATTGCTTTATGAAGCGAACTTTACTCGGAATTACGCAGAGAGGCGCAGTCGCGATGAATGGAATATGCGCGCCGCTTCTCCACGGAGCGTCGGTCCCGCACTCGGAGTACCCACACACCACTGATGTCATTCGGGGGTGAAAAGTTCGCGAGAAAATAAAGTCGGAGGGAAAACGAAGATCCCGTGAGCGCGAGCGCGCGGACTCTCTCGCACGGGGCGCCTGCATTTCGCACACGTGTCGCAGATTTCATTTGGGCAAGATCGGTACGCGCGCGCGCGAGAGAGAGAGACAGAGAGAGAGAGAGAGAGAGAGAGAGATAGAGAGAGAGAGAGAGCAGACTTGGTGCTTTCCTGTATCGCGCGAGTATCTCGCGAGCTGTCTCGGCGAAACTTTCGTTTGATGAAATACGGCTGCGCGTATATGGGCGTATGCACGCAAATACGGGCGACATGGGAGGGGGGGAGGTTATCTCCAAGGGGATGCAAATGCACATCTCGCGTGCCGTCTACATCGCTCGCATCGTATCATAGGAGACAAGATTAGCGGAACGGAGGTAACCAAGCCTCGCGCGCGTTTTAATCCGTTACCGTGAAGCATAACGATAATGTCGAGCCGGGCTACTCACCTGCGCTATTGAATATTTAATTAAATCAGCTTTAATAATTTCGCGCAATTTTTTTCTCTCGATTTATCGCTCGATCTCGTATCTCACTTTCATTTATCTCGTGAACCTATCTTGTATAGATTTAACGAGTTCACTTCAGCTACCGCTGCTTGGTCTCGATCGCGGGTAAAACGCTTGGAGTTTTCGCGCGCGGATTTTTAACCGCGGCTTCTGATGGATAATAACATAATCGAACTTCAGGACTATTCGCGTACGTGCACCCTCCCTTTACGCTCACGATCGCAATGGCGACATCCTGTCTGGTCGCCCGTTCCTTACGTCGACAACCCTCGTGTCGTGGGGTGACGACCCCGCGTGTCTGCCCATTGCGCCTCCCTCCCTTGCACATTTTGAATTTATTATTTATTACACACGAGGAGGTACATGCCCAACGAATGTGCAACGACGGAGACGCGTGTTTCGTTAAGGGATGACAGCGACGATGTATTGCGGGAGGTTCTTTTGTTTTTCGGTCGTGATGACCGATGAGTCTTCCAAGGACAAGTTACCGTTTAACATTACTGAATGCATCATGAAAAAATATATATTAAAACTAAAAATATTTTTATACCGTAGTAACAATGATAAATTAATTATGTACAAGCGGCGGACACGAGTAATTTGGGACTGAAATATTAATGACTATTTATATCGCAAGACTGATAATTTTTTTTTTACATCGACATTGCGAGGAGTAAGAATGTTACTTCGTGGCACGCGGATATATTTCACAATTACCGTAAGAATTTCTGAGCACGAACGCGGACGGAATCACTTTATTGTGCTATCGATCTTCCATATTTAGAACGGCAACGTGCACAACGAATTAAGAATCTCTATGTAATAAATACCTCGGACCTCGGCTTCTCTGCTTCATTTTATCTCTCTCTCTCTCTCTCTTTCTCTCTCTCTCTCTCTCTCTCTCTCTCTCTCTCTCTCTCTCTACCCAAATAGTAAATCCCTATAGTGAAATAAATATTAAATTCGAAGAGACGAATGAATTCGATGGAATCAATTTTACCGGACTTTTTAACGAGACTTGATTGCATAGTTATCGTTTGTCGGTGGCTCTTTAATTCTCAAATGAAAACCGCGAGAAGAAACTTGTCAAGCAAAAAGATAATTATTCATTATATTGTGTATTTATAAAGGTTGAACTTGGTGAAAAAATCCACGAGTTTTACGCGCTGAATGTTTCCCCGATTCGGCGTGAGTTCGCCGAATGTTTATTCGTATTTTTATACCTCGACCGCCAAATTCCGGAAATACGCGTAATAATCGGACCATTTTGTTCGCTCCGCAGGTGAAACAGCGACTCGCACCTAAGTGATGATTTTCTTGCGGACGTGATCCAGGCGAATGGGACAACGTGGGAAAATCGAGTGGGAGAATCAGACTGCGGAAGGTTTATTCCCTTGGACCTCGTTTAGGCACGTCCCTAAATCACGTTCATCGACCGGAGGGAAGTTTGACCTGGTTGCGGTCGGAGGTGTGTGTCTCTCTCTCTCTCTCTCTCTCTCTCTTTCTCTCTCTCTCTCTCTCTCTCTTCCTCTCTCTTTCTCTTCATCTCTACCTCTTCATATGTAATTTACATATATTAAATTACACTTTTGGATTAGATCCTCGACCGCGATCTACTACGAATATCGCATCGCGCGATTATGATGGAAAACCACGTGATGAAATCTGCGAGATATTCGGTTTGTAGCACTCGTCTTCTCGGCACACTGTTTACGTTACAGAAGTAACTTCACTCCTCTAATGCCGCATTTTGGCAACGACTCGCAAAATCTCTAAATCTCCTTTTCTCTCTCTCTCTCTCTCTCTCTCTCTCTCTTTCTCCCCCTCTCTCTCTACTTATCGAGTCCTGAACGTGCCAAGCTATATTCAAATACGAACCAAATTCACCAAGTTCCGCTAAAATCAGACTGCAATTTGGCAAGTTTCGTTAAAGAGGAGATTGGCGAGATTCCCTTTTTGCGGATAAACCTACATGATCGAACGACATCGCCGGGATATTCGAAAAGCTTCCTCAATGTTTCGAATTTCCCTCGTCGTCGCTTGTTCCGTTCGCATTCCTGTTTGCTGCTTCTCTTTCAAGAACTGATATCTGATAATCGCGTCTTCCCAAGTCGAAATTTTGGTTCTGTATTAATTCTGCAAGCTCTGTCGAACTCGAAGGATCAATGGAGAATCTCGAGATGTAACATTGTATAGACTATTGTATTACTCCGATACGGTAAATTAGTTGCCAACTACCGTTTATTGAGGCACCATATTGAGGCACAAGAACACGCTCATTTTAGAATTATGTAATATCCGATCATTTCAATATTTTATCCGCAATTCACTCTTTATCCTAAATTCCGATAAACAATATATCGATTATATGACTTATTTAATTAACTGCGGATAAAATATATGCAATAAGCAAATATTAAATGATTTATGTGGATAATATAGGTAAATAAAACACAACACATTTTACTTCCTCATAATTTCTTTTCTTTTTTTGATGTTGGAAATTTTCATAGATGGGTTGATTAGAGATTCCGAAAGGAAAGGGATTGTAAGGGTGAAGAGGAAGCGATTGTAAGGACAAAAATAACAGTCGCATGTCCAATGATGCTGCGTGTGGCCCAACAGAAATATAAATTTAAATTCAGTGCAATAAAAGGATCAAAGAGACCTACGGAGGAGTTGGCACATGTCAATAAGTTAGCACTGGCGGCCCAAGCAGCATTATCAGATGCACAAATCAACAACACTTGCGAAATCTACTACTAAATTATAAGGCCGATATTCATAGATGTAAATTAATTACAATCTTGAGTTGAGAGCATAATTAATTACACATTCATGGACCGCTACTCAGCTGTCCCGATCGATGATACTCCTTATATGAAATAAGTACGCAGCAATCATAATAGCCTAAAAATTTAATACAATTAAGTTGCTAGTATTTCCTAACCGAATTTATATTTGGACGCAAAGTAATTACTGTGACACATTGCTTCTGTTTCATTAAATTATGGATCAATAATAAATGGATATTACATAGTAGAAGTAGAGAGAGAGAAAATCCTAATAATCAAACTATATAACATTTTTAAACTATTATGCAGGTCTGCGTTGACGAAAAACCAAAAACAAAACGCTTCAGGTGAAGCTACAATTATTTATTAGACAAACTATGAATATTGGCGTAAATTTCGACTCGGGTATCTTTTTGTTCTCGGCAAGTTCGCAAGAAATCTTAAAGTCTGAAACACGTTTCGTAACAAATACGACTTGACACACCTGGAAATATAAAGCGTATCTCCTCGCCCAAATCCATGTCTCCTCGCGCCCTCCTTCCTTCGTCCTCGTGGCATCTCGCTCTTCAGCATCCTGCTCCCAGCTGCTGCATCTTCTATATTCCGGATACTCCCACATTGCACTGACGTTGATACTCGCGTACTAAACAATTCAATCGGAGAAATGTATGTGAATTAACGCGACGGCAGCGCGATTAAATATTTCGAGAGTCAACAAGTTATTTTTATCACTCAACAATAATACAGATGATATTATATAATTAACTCGCAAGACACGCGTCCCGCGTTACAGTATGTGCCTGTTCGCCTCTCGACTCGAAACGAACTGGACTCTCGATGACTCGGTCGAGAAAGGCGTCTCAAAACAATCGGCGAGAAAGGTCATCACTTCCAACCAATCGCCAATCAGTCAACACGCGCGCGCGCGCGCGCGATCTCGACAACCACGAAATCACAACAACCTTTTTATTTATCAAAATTTCCAAAGTTTCACCTTGACTTTCCCAACGGCTTCTTGCCGTTACGTTTGTCCAGACGAATTATTGTTACTGCGCCGCGAAAGTTCAATGTCTCACTCGGCTATTGTTTACCCGCATTAATTAATTACGTAACATTTCCTTGTCGCATATATTCTATCTGCAGAATATCGAATAATCCTGAGAGAATCAAGTGCTGCCTCTCTACATGGTCTCAACATGAAGAAAACGACAGCGCGTAACCGTTCGTAGTATCCATAAAATAACAATAACCCGCATAACTACTGTTTTATCTCGAGAGATTCTCCATTAACCCTTCAAGTTCAACGATCACGTCGGCGAAGGGGATAAAAAGAATCGGCCGGTCGCGTGACGTGATAAGCTAGCCCACCGTGGTTTACCGTGGTGCATCGACAAACGAAAAAGACGAAAAAGGGGGAACAGGCAAACGCGCGGAACGCGACGAGAGAGACAGTGACGTCCCGCGTCTCTCTGGTACAGCCGTCGACGGCGTCCAGGATGGCGAGGAGCAACGACAATGGGGAGGTCCTCGGACGCGGTTTCGAGCGCACCGTTCATCGCCGCGATGCCGCCGTCTCGTCACGTGGTAAGGCAACGTCCCAGCGCGAATCGATCGGCGTCGTTAACGGCGACAGCAACGTCCAGCAACGTAACAACGACGACATCACCGAGAACAGCAACGGCAGCAACGGTGGCAACGGCAACGGCAACGGCAGCCGCAGCAGCAGCAGCAGCAGCAGCAGCAACAGCAGCAGCAGCAGCAGCAGCAGAAGCAGCGCGATCGCTCACGAACAAGGGGAGGGTACGGCAGATTAGAGTTGCCCCCTTGAACGCAGCTGCGGCACACTTTAATATTAACGTGAGTCCCTCAATCGTCCCGTTGTCATTTTTCTAATACACCAGCAATAACAATCATTCTTTGAGGAGGCCGCTTCGAGATATCCGAAGACCCCCACGGCGCAGCGCAGACAAGAGGGAGACGGAAGGAAGGGGGCGCAGCACTCTCGCCTGGATAAATTGCAGAACGCAAGTTCAGTGTCCGGCAGGAAAATTGATCTTCCGAGAATTAGCGAGAAGAAGCTCCCCCCGTCGGACGCCGGACGTGTGTTTCCAGATTCATCGGGGTGAAAGTGTCGCGTCGTTTCTCCCGCCGACCGCACGCGCGCTCCCTCAAACGCGCGTGTGGCTTTAATCGCGAGTTCTTCTTTACACGAGCCGACCACCCCAGCGGCGCACGATGCTTCGAATTTCCGCTCTCCAAATATCGCGGCAGACACACGTTGTACGATCGACGGCGACTGCTATATCGTCATCTCACACGCGCGCGCGAGAGAGAGAGAGAGAGAGAGAGAGAGAGAGAGAGAGAGAGAGAGAGGGTGGGGGCGGTTGAGGGGGGGAAGAGGAGGGGAAGGAAAGAGGACAGATGCGTCGCACAGTTGTGCAAATAAATGAAGCTAATTAATCGGGGAGAACACAGACGGCCGTCGCGTTACAGTCGTCGGTCGCCTGCATCTCCTTCGGCTTCTTCCTCCTCTTCTTCTCCTCGTAGTTTCGCGTGCGTTTCACTCGCGAGAACGAGCGGAGGATCACGTTGCTCTCGCCGCGGGTACGCTGATCAAACGGCAAGTTGCATTACACGTTCCGTCGTAAACGATTGATTAAATGAAACGCGTCCCGCTGTTTTCTCCGCGTCCGGCAATCGATCACTCTCGCTACGAACAGCGATTCATGCGGATAAAGGTAGTTTGCCGTAATGAATCTAGCTCGTTCGACTCGTTCGCTACACGAGTGCCTTCGCTTTGGGGTGTCGTGTTTTGTCTTTTCCCTCTTCCTCTGTCAGCTGAAACCTGAGGAGAATTCATTAGGTTGGTGCGGGAGATTTGTCCTGTTTGTCGAACACAATGGAAAACTAAATTATCCCGTCTCGAAGGATTAGTCATTTCTCAAACGAGCAACGTCGCGGCTCGGTGGCTTTTCAAGCATCTAACGAGAATTTCTTCCTTCCCTCGAACATCCTACGAGGATTTGACGAAAAAATCTCTGGTACCAACCTGATATGTATGACGCGGGATGTCTCGTATTATCGCCGTGTGTGCGGAACAAGGTTGCGCTTGAGCCTCGAATTTTGTCATAGACGAAGACTGTCACTGTGATTTCCGGCTGAGAAGCACTTTACGTAACAAAAGTTCTATCGCCACGTTACTCAATTCTGTCACGTACTGACTCGAGCCTTGAGCCATGCTCGTCGAGGATGATCGACGCGACTCATGACACTTGGTGACACTTGGTGACACGCGGTACGAGTGATGCGGACGCGATCGCGTCGCGCGGGACAATTCCGGCGCGAAAACTCGACCAAATTCGAGGCTCCCGCACGGCTCGCTGCCACAAAATGCCGACAATTCGCGGCGATTCAGTCGGCCGTTGGTGTTTCTGTTACAGAGGACGAGTGGGCGAATGCATCTCGCAGGATGAATTCGTGCGCGGTCTACTTGACCCAGCTGCGGGCGATGCTCGTGAGGAATCTCCTGCTGAAGAAACGCGAGAAGCGGAAGACGATGGCGGTATGTCGCGAGCCTCGCTCGCAACCTTCGCCATATATATCTCGTCGAGCGCGTGTCTCGGACTTCGTTATCGCTCGCGTTGTAATTAAAGACCGCTCCGTCGCAGTCAACAATCGACAATCGACGGGCAGATTGTTCCAACTCCTTCCCGAGCAGAACATCGTCCCACGGCCCCGTTTATCAAAACCCCATCCGGCTTCCAAATTTCAAACAGGGCCCGGACAACTTTATCGGATCCGGCACGTAAGAAGGAGTGAATGCCCTGATAAAATTGCCTGAGATCGAGAAACCTGACGAAATGTCCATCAGGACCCAAAATCAGGCATCCAAATAACGACTGGTCATCGCTGGTCAGGGATATAATCTGGAAAATATTGCAACGACAATTGCCACATTCCGTAAAAGAATTGCCGTATTTGACTTCTGCTCGGGTTGGTAAGTTAACTGATAGCTAAATCGTATGGAGTAGAAATAAAGACAAACGTATCATTTAACCATCAGTCAACTTACCAAGAAATCGGAACAACACCGGGCCTCCATCGTCCGATCATAGAGGCGAACTCGCGCGACCGCGCGCAGCGCGGAGATTACAACGCGACGCGTACTCGTCGCCTGCGCGTCGTTTCACTCGCATAATAACTCCCGAGGAGCGAGGAACGTAACGAGAAAAATCGACACCTGTCTCGCGGAACACGTCGTCGGTAGGACAACGCGTGCCAAGTGGCCGCGTCCGCGTTACGCCGCGTAACGCGAGGTGTGTCGCGGCATACGTTTGCCAAAATCGTCGGCGACGCTCTCCTCTCCTCTCCTCTCCTCGGCTGGCCGCTCGCATCGCGACGCGACCCGGATAAACCCCCCCGACAGCGATATCCTCGTCGCCGCGCGACGACCGAGTATCGAGTAATTTCATAACGACATTCTCCCGAGTAAATCCTCGACCGGAACAACGAGCGAGGCAAACTGCGCATTCGTCGGAGAATCTCCCGTATAGCAGAATTACGCGAACGCGCTCGCGAATGTAAACCAGGAACGACCGACCGAAGTAAAACGACGAAAAAAAAGAGACAGACGCGGACGTTTGCGAGAGTGGCAACGGAGCGACTGCGTGCCGTCGCGGACTGCATTCGCCAACTACGTTGCCAATTGAACGTTTTTGCGCCTTCGCCGTGCCAACTAGGCCAAGGGTTGACAGCGGGGGAGGGGAGCTCTAACTCTCTTTTATCTCGCCGAATTATTCACTCGGTCTCCCCCCCCCCCCTCCCGCCCGTACCGTTAGAGCGTTCGAGTTGCAATTAATACCGCTCTAGAGGGTGTCAATCGATAGGCCGATAATTCAAATATTATTCCGCCTCGAGTATCTGTTTTCTTTTTTATCTTTCTTTGTTCTTCTTCTGAATGACAGTTCGTTGGAGAAAGGAGCGGAGATGTTCGCTCTCGAGTAGAAATGTATCCGAAAAGTAACGGCTGCTCGGATCCTCGGAGAGTTGACTCGACCCGCCGAAACTTCCTAAAATTCGATTCCCTGTCATTTATCCCGCGTTCGCTAATATCGATCCTGGAATAACCAGAGAGAGAGAGACTTACTCTCGGTGATTGACTCGCAGATTGACGGATTCCAGCTCAGAGATAATGATATTCCGGGAAATCTGAACACATCATCAGGAGAATGTGAATACATCAGTCGCTTTAATGTTCACTTTCTCTCTCGCTCGGATTTTAATATATTTGCCATGTCCCGAATGTAGAACAAGCGTTCATATCTCGTGAGACGTGAGCGATGAGTTCCAAATCCGGCGAGTCTGGAAATCTCCGAGATCCGAGTATTCACAGTTCTGTGAGCCCGAGACACATCCCGCCATCGTATCGTCATCAACTACCACTAATCGTGTATTCGTGTTACTCGACCGAAAGGCAACGCGCTTCTTCGCGCACGCTAAAATACATCTCGAGCAATCGAGAGCAATCGAGTCCACTTGTGGTTCACTTCTTGCGAGCGTTCCTCTGCTTGCCGTCCTTGGCCTTGAAAATGGCCGGATCCAAGACGTTGATGGGTCCGTTGTTCCACAACGACGTGGACACGGTCTCGTTGGGCTCGACGGTGGACGGCAGCAGGTGAGGTCCTACGAGGAAGTACGCCTGCTCGACCCAAGTGGGCAACGGCAGGCCGACGACGCAACATTGCCACAGCGGCAAGCCCAAGTGGGCCAGCATCATGCGGAAGTACGTGTTGAAGTCGTCGGCCAGTTGATACCAGCTGCTGTTCCGCTGGAGCCAGATACTCGGTGAATCTTGCTCTTGCTTGGAACGGTACGCGAGGTAGACCTTACCGTTGCTGGTCCCTGGATGACACTGACCAATCTCGAAGAGCTTGCAGTCGCGTGAGTCCCCGGAGAGCAGGACGTCCGTGCCACCGCCTTCCGCTTCCGTTGTAGGCTCCTCCGTTTGAGTTCCCGATGACGAGTCTTGCGTCGACGGTCCCGTCTGCCTATCCTTACCCACGTATCTCTTCAGGGACGAGAGACTGCCGATCTCCATGCGGCCGATCGGGAATTCCTCACCTGAAGAGTGAGGAACTTTGGTTGTGGGAAATATTGTGTGCACGGGAGAGATACAAATATCTGATATTTATCTTCAATTCTCGGAGAAGAAGACGGATATTAGATACTTGGGCGAAACATGTCTGATCGCAGAAATTACCCGCTACGTCGAGGTTCCACAGCAGCAGAAATCCGTCGATGGACGTGTAGAAATTCCGAATGTTCTCCGGGAGCGCGCAACAGTGACGTTGCTCCCAGCTGGTGATGGCTCCGAGCTCGCAGCCGTTTCGCCTCTCGACTCGCACGTTTTTCACGCACGGCGAGTTCTCGAGGATCTTGACCACGCCCAAGGTCAGGTTCTCGTAGAACGAGTCCTCGGTGATGATGTCCACGAAGAACGACATCGCCTGCAGATCTTTGCCCTCCGACACCTTTTGCGAAATGTGAATCGTGCTTAAGATGATTCCTAACTTTCGCGATGAGAGAAAACTCATTCCGCGAAACAAAAAGTTTTCGTTTCTGTATTTTCGAACTCCAAGTTACGACCCTGCGTTTCCCTACTTTTTCCTTGTTGTTCTCTACATGTGCCTTCCTGCACCACTCGGATTTATTCTACGAGTCTCGTTAACCCTCGGCATGCCATCAGCCATTGCAGTTCATTGCATCCAATTTCCGTTTTTAAACTTCTCTCTCTCCCTCTCTCTCTCTCTCTCTCTCTCTCTCTCTCTCTCTCTCTCTCGAGCAGTCCTCTAACTCTATTTCAAGGAATTTACATCTCTCGACTTGTGCCCTTTCCTAAGAATTTCCGAAAAAAAGAACGGATCGAGAAGATTGGTCGCTCGCTCTTCTCAAACAGGTCAACCCTTTAAGTTCAAGCAACTTCTGCTGCGACATACCGAGGGTTAGGATAAATCTGAGCTCTTCGCGCACATTCAACCTCTCGCAATCCTCTTCGCTACGCGATATCCTCCCGTCGCGTCGTTGCGAGTTAAAAGATAATGAGCCGAGCGACGATGGCAGGAGCGGCTGATGAATTAAACCACACGCAGATGGAAGCAATTACCATGTATGCAATTATCCTGTTCCGTTCGCGATCATTCCGCCCCAAGACGAGAGATGCGTCGACCTTTTGTGTTCGTTCGCGGCGTGTTCAACGTGTTACGTGGCGATTGTATATACTCGCGTCTCGTTTTATCGAGCCGCGCAGGCTCGAATGCTCTCTCACGATCAGCAGGCCCGCTCGTGTCTCGAAATCAAGGAGAGATTCTCTCTCTCTCGTGGGAGCTTGACGAGCTTCTACCTTTCGACGTTCCGGTGATCACCGCCAAGAGCGTGCGCCGTCTCCTTGTTGATCGCCATGACGACCGGAGTTCCGAAGCCACTAATATTCTCCAGTGACGTATACAAGCGGGGAACGCGTCCCGCTTGTAATTTGCGCGCTCTAAATTATGCACCTCGAGCGTAAATCGCAGACGGAAGGAGGACGGTCTTCGCGAGACCGGCGCGTGTTACGTCGCTCTCAGGGATTCTCTCGCGGACGCGCGACGCGACGCAACGCGACGCGACGTCGCGCGTTTTTCACGGCGTGGAGGAAATTTTTCGCGCGGCCTTTACGGTTCGAGATATTGTTTTGGTAACGCGTTGCGAACGCGCAGGGAACGCGGCGAGGCAGGTGCGCGCGGCAGGCAGGCAGCACCGGGGATAATTACGGGACACGCACGCACGCACGCACGCACGCACGCACGGCGGGTGCGGGTGCGGGTTCCTCTTGCCGCGTTGAATTCACGTTGCGTCGTGTTTTTAGGGGCGCGGGAAATGCGTAGGGAAGAAGAACACAGCCGAGGAACTCTCGCGCCACCCTACCCCGTAGCGGGCGTACCGTGCGGGTATTAACTGCAAAAAGCACGGGGGATCTTTTATTCATCCGGGATAGAGCGTGTAATTATGGGACGACCGTATTCTCGCGAAATAACGAGCGCGTTCGTTGCAAAATAAAACATTCGCTTTAGACTCGTCTGTTTCCTCCTCCGCGGCGCTCGCCTTCGTCGCGGCTAAATGCTCGACGATACGAATTTATGCACGTGGCGCGGCTTAATATATTAATTAATTCACTGACCGCCCCCCCCCCCCCGTTGTCGTTTCTCCTCTCGCCGCGAGGGTTCCTCCCGGTCCGACCGACACGACAATCATCTCAATGACACTTTCGCTCGAGAATCGTTCACGGCCGTTATCGCGGCGGATGAAATCGCGAGGACAAGGAGTCAACGATTGCGAACGCGAGAGACGCTCGTTCAGGTGTAACATTTATTGATTTTACACCGAAATCCACATCGATGCCGCTCGATTGCCCACAGGAGATCTTCCTGCCCCTCTACACCCTCGGGGTCTTGATCGTCGTGAAAATCCTCATTCCGAATCCGAACTATCCCGCGATGACAACGCAGCAGCGCGACACGGAGATATTCGAGATATACAACGGCTACGCAAACATCACGATCGCCGTGGTGCCCAATTCTACAGAGACCCTCGTAAGTATCGACCTTTCGAGAGAGCACACCGTCAGCTCAGCGCGCCGAATCGCCGAATGGAGTTCACGAACGCGCGCGCTCGTATCTCGCGGAAAAATGTTTCGCACGGCCGCGCGAAACGTTCTATCTCGCTTGAGCATTTTCCACGCGCGCGGATCTCCCGCGAGTTTCCCCGTCAAATCTCGCAAATTCACTCGCCCGTTTAAATAAGTCTCCATCTCACTCTCTGCCCCCCTTTCTCTCTCTCTCTCTCTCTCTCTCTCCCTCTCTCTCTCTCTCTCTCTCTCTCTCTCTCTCTCTCTCTCTCTCTCTCTCTCTCTCTCTCTCTCTCTCTCTCTCCCTCTCTCTCTCTCTCTCTCTCTCTCTCTCCCTCTCTTCTGAATTTCGAGATAAGCTGAGACTCTCGAGAGTGCAAACTCTCTCGAGAGATCTTCGCGTTTCGTCGTGGAATGTAAAATTTTCATTTCGCCGTCGTGACTCTTCTTTTTTCTCTATCGCGACGGTAATTTCGCCGGGAAGGAAAAAGGATCGACCCAAGGCTCGTTAAAAATTACATCTTTCGCTTTCGTTGCGCGCGCGCGCGCGCGCGTATCTTCGGTGATATCGCCACGCTGCTGTCTCTCGCATTGGCCGTTTTCGAGACGAGCCGTCGTTCCGTCGGAAATTGCGAGATCCCGCACGGTACGAAGTTAACAATGTATTTTCCAGAACTTTTTAAGCTCCATGAACACCCTCTGGCTCTCTATGTGGGATTATCCCGGTAAGTTTCCCTTAAACTTCGTCGTGTTCGACACGCAGGACGATCTGCAGGCGGCGTATTGGAGAGATCCTTACAGCGTACCCATAGCGGTTATCTTCGAAGATTCGCAGCCGATAACACGGCGTCTCATGTAAGACCACTTTTATACCATAAAACGCGAACGTTTCAAAGCGGCGCACGATCCTTCGCGGAGGAGGGATATCGCGCGCGTTCGACGAAGAGATTTTTCTCAAAGCGGCCAAAGACGCGCCGCTCTCTTCGCGTCTCCGCTGTGCGTTATGCTCTGTTTCAAACATATCGTAGTCGAGCGAAAATATCCAAGACCTTAATTCGTCAGCTCGTTAGACTGACACGTCGAGAGACGATCATTTTTAGCGGATTAACCGAGAGAATCGGAAAGAGACGACAGCGACTCGAGCTGTGTTGAATCAATCTCCACTGAAATCCGCGATCTTTCGCATCGCTCAGGTATGAAATCAGGACGAATCCCTCGTATCCGTCGCCGCCTTCGCCGACCGAACTGTATTCCGCCCCGGTCACCTGTCGAAAGGACACCAGCCATTGGATGGGCGGCATCTTGTCGATAGAGACCGGCGGCTCCTGCCCCGTCAACGATTACTTGTATTCCGGCTTCTTGTTCCTGCAGATGTTAATGGACGTCACGAAAATAAGAGTAAGTTCCTGCTTCGGCTGGTTCGTTGTAATCGTCGCGGGCATGTCGGGACACTTTGTGGCGCAACAACGTCCCAAGATCGATCGCGAATGTTTCTCTGACGACACTTGTTGCAGTTGGACACGGGAATCCCCGACCTGACCGTACCGGACATCAAACTCCAGATGTTTCCAAAGGAAGCGTTCACCGCGGGTAAGCAATCTTCGCGTCCGAAGATTCTTGAATCGCGTCCGAAAATTCTTGAATCGCGCGACTACGTGGAAACATCCCCGGAGGATTTCCGTTACATTAACGACGCGTGTTTCCACCTCAGATTGGATGGTGGCCTTCAGGGTGGTCATCCCCCTCTACACGGTCTTGGCGCTGTCGCAATTCATCACGTATCTCCTGATTCTGATAGTCGGCGAGAAGGAGAACAAGATCAAGGAGGGGATGAAGATCATGGGCCTAAACGATTCTGTCTTTTGGTAAATCGTCGCGGGATTTTTCTCGCTTTCGAGCGCTTCTTCTTTTTTTTTTGCTTCAGCGGCCGCTCGAGCTGGCTCCGATTTGGCTCGTCATCGGCAACGACGCCATTTTCGTCACGCGCCTTCTCTACTTCGTTGTTGCAGGTTGTCCTGGTTCATCATCTACAGCGTCTTCGTCCTATTACTCTCCGCAGTCGGGGTGATACTGCTGTTCACTCTGCAAATGTTCCAACACACGCACTTCCTGCCGATTTTTCTGCTGATGGTGCTGTACAGCTTCTCCGTGATCATGTTCGCCTTCATGATCACGCCATTGTTCGACAAGTCGCGCGTGAGTAATTTTTCGCACGACGAGTTTTCCACGTTTGATTCTCGAGTTGACGCTCGACCGACGACGAGAGAGACGAGTCGATACGCTGCCGCTTTGACCCGTGGTGGAAAAAAAAAAAGAAAATACCAAACACGCGCACGAATTGAAAAATTGAAAGCCACACGTGCGAGTTGGACAGCGTCCTGTCGGTTAACCCTTCAACGCCTACTGCTAACTATAGTTACCAGAAACGCATTTAAGGATCCATAACTTGGTTTAACGAAAAGGGAGATGTTTTCATTCTTTTCTTTGCACCTGCACTGTAAAGGTGAATTCTCCTTCTAAAAAATGCTATATAGACTGCATGTAGATTCGGTTTAGTCTGTCTTTAGCTCAGTTTCAATGATAACATGTTTTGTCAAATTCCAAGTAGGCATAATTAACGTTGTTACTGACATCTAAAAGCGCACTGTAAATGAATGGATTGGTATCTGTTATAATTTTATACGTTTGGAAGCTTTCTCAGATGCAAAGTGTGAAATTAAAAGAATACAGAAATTCAAAATGGCGAATCCAATGTGGTGAACACGAAAGTCAAGAAATCAATTTATTCTCGTGGAACCTGGTGACGTTTTTTATGCGGCGAAAAATGAAGGGGCGATATTGACTATCTAAATGGTGATCTATAAGATATTCTTCTGAAATGGTAAGCTTGACGCTCTGAATGATAAACTTCACTCACAAATATAGTAAAGTTTCAGCTCGAAAATATCAAGCCGACTACTGTCAGAGTTGTCGTGTAGATTACCCTTCATTTCTCTCTGTATAGGTTTCTCATTTCGTGTATGCTTTGTAGGATCCAAGTCATACTTACTAATAAACAATAAACAAAAATAGAAAAAGGAGACGCCTTGAAAAAGATCAAGAATCATTTGATACGTCAGAAAATTCCTGTTTAGTTTCTCGTAGATATCAGATTCTGATATGTTTTTTCATTATCACTACCTATGTATAGTCTCAGTTCGAAAAATTCAAATTTTATTCTTAAAACACTTATAAAAAAAAGTCGGGCGTTAAAGGGCGTTAAAGGGGGAGCGTTAATTTCACGAACGACGCAAATCGGCGGAGATTAACGGAGACTGTACTTGTTGTAATGACGTGAAAATGAGTACAGTAGCTGAAGTGAGAGAGCAATCGCGGCACAAGTGGTACAAGCGTCTTCCTCTCTGTCGCAGACGGCTGGTGTTTTGGGCAACTTCGCCATTACGATACTGAGCTTGATGTACTTCATCCAAGTATTCGTGGACGACTCCAGCTCGGTCTCGTTCTGGCTGGTGTCTCTGCTCAGCCCGACCGGAGTCGCCCTGGCGATGGACAAGGTAAGTCTTGAAGTACTTGACTCGGGCCCCGAGCTCCCCCGTCGGCTCGACGCGGGGAAACATCGACGAGATAACCGACCTCGTTATTCGAAAGAAGCCAGATGAGCCGGATGGAGTGAACGTTGTTCACCAGTAGCAAGGCTTTTTTTTCCGTTACAAATGCTTCGGCGCTAAAGCTGTCACAGCACGAACGTCTACACTCGAGTACCGACACCGCGACTAGACAGATTCTTCGTGTGTATCGCGTGTCTCTAAGAGCGCTTCGCGCTGCTCTGTGTCGCCGCAGGCTATCGTGCTGGACCTCCAAGGCGAGGGAGTGAATTTCGACAACCTGTGGTCCGGGCCCGGGATACCCTTCGGCGGCAGTCTCATCATGATGACTCTGGATATTTTCTTGTACGCCTGGCTGGCCTACTACTTCGACTCCGTGATACCGAGTACGTTTCTCACGACACGTATTTTCGCCGCGATACTTAAAGTCAAGATATAGAAAGTCCACGCGGCTGAATAACGTTTGTGTGTGATCTCTTCAACAAGACCCGCATGATCCGCGGATACCGTGTATACCGAATAACACCCAATGCGCTCTTTGATCCGCAGGTGAGTACGGCACGAAGAAACCACCTTGGTTCTGCTTCGTACCCGGATTTTGGTGCCAGAGAAAAGTCCAAAGGGTACGTATACGGTATGATAAAAACGGTATCTGTGAGCCTCTCGTTAGAACTCACCACGCTGATATGCATTTTCATCAAGTCATCACGGCAACTTGCCCCCTTAGAGTCGCCAAGACGATAGCTCGCCAACGGCCACTGAGAATGAGATCCACCCAGATCGCGAAACCGACTTGCAGGTGCCGTCGTCGAACGGCGAGTCCAACTCCTTCATCCCCGGCGAGGAGGCGAATCGCGACGTGGAGCCGGTGGTGCGCGAGATGAAAGGCCGCGAGGCGATCAGGATAGCCGACCTGTACAAGTCGTACCACAAGTGCCGGCGCTCGGAGACCAAGGCGGTGAACGGCATCAATCTGACTATCTACGAGGGCCAGATCACCGCGATACTCGGCCACAACGGCGCTGGCAAGTCCACCCTCTTCAATATCCTCACGGGCCTCACCGCGCCCACCGCCGGCACCGCTCTCATCTTCGGCTACGACGTCCGCGACTCCAACGACATGCGGGCGATCCGCAGCATGACCGGCGTATGCCCGCAGCACGACATCCTCTTCGATCTGCTGACGCCGCGCGAGCATCTCGAGTTCTTCGCCGCGGTGCGCGGCATATCGCGCTCGATGATTCAGCACGAGGTACGCGAGAGAGGAGAAATGTGCTTTCGATTCTCGGGTCGGGGTGTCGGGTCAGTGAAAAAAATTCAATTTCGCGTCTTCTTCGGCGGCGAGTCGGCCATCCTTTACAACGGAAAAGCATATATGATGCTGCCGGCGAGGTTTGGCGAAGAGTTTTAGGATTCACGGTATTCACAGTTGGTTCTTCATGTTCAAGATCCGACTATGAATATCGTCCATGAACGACGATTATAACAGGACTCGGTTTCGACTCAAGTCAAAGATATCGAAATCACCTTTTGATACTGACCTGATAATTATCGAGACAGCCGTGTAAACGATACGCTATGATACGCTATGACAGAACACAGCGAATAATGTTTGCCTGTACCTCTTTACGATGGAGTACGCGTTTCACTTTCGTAGGTGAAGAAAACCCTGAAGGATATCGATTTGGTCGAGAAAGCGGATACCTTCGCGAAATACCTTAGCGGCGGTCAAAAGAGGAAACTGTCCGTGGGAATAGCGATTATCGGAGACCCCAAGATCATCATCCTCGACGAGCCCACCGCCGGAGTGGATCCGTACTCCAGAAGGCAGATGTGGTCCTTACTGCAATCGAGACGGCACGGCAAGGTGATACTGTTGACGACTCATTTCATGGACGAGGCGGATATACTCGCCGACCGAAAGGCGGTGATCAGCAAAGGGAAGCTCAGGTGTTGCGGCAGCTCGTTGTTCCTGAAGAACAAGTTCGGCATTGGATACCACTTGACGTAAGTGTGTCGGTCGCAGGTACTCGCCACTCGGTACTCGATTCTGGAACATTACAGATATCATGTAACATTAAGGATTAGAAAATAGAAAAAAGTATTACCATCGAATATATAGATATAGAGAATATCTAGAAATAGAGAAGCAGAGGAGATAAGAAAAAGTAAAAAGGAAGTATGGGGGGTCTCGGTTTAATTCGCTGTTCGTTGAGAAAACGAAAGAAGAAGGAAATGTGGAATATCTTTGTTTCCTCTCTTCCAATCCCCGCACGTTGCTCTCGATTTTATCCAAGGCAATCGAGCGATTGCATTCCTCACTGAAACTATCGCAACGTCCGCGATTCTAGGCTAGTGTTGGAAGGCAACGCCAGGGAACACGCCATCACCCGGCTGGTGACATCGCATGTGACGAAAGCGGAAAAGGCGAGACGCCACGGTCGCGAATTGAGCTTCATCCTACCTCACAATTCCGTCGAGAGCTTCGCACCCTTGTTCTCCGCCATCGAGCACGAGATCAAGACCAGGTCGAGCAGGCTCGGCATCAGCAGCTACGGCGTATCGATGACCACCTTGGAGGAGGTGTTCCTGCACCTGGAGAAGGACGAGGAGACCGAGTGCACGATGGACAATTTGTCGAAAAAGATGGTGCGCAATCGCGCGCTCAGCAGGTCGCTCTCGTTGCAATCCAAGAGCACGTCGTATCAGAGCCTGCAAAACGAGGGGGTGACTGTCCAGGGTGACAGTCAAGCGAAAGGTAATTCCTCACTCTTTCCTGCGCATTCCCCCTTCCCTCTCACCCGCCTGCCAAAAAAACAAAAAAAAAAAGATCCCCGAATTTTCTCAACCCGAGCCCCGACTCTAACTTGGCTCGTGGCACTGAACGTACGTTAAAGCGACAAGTTTGTTACTGCGTTCGATTATTAATCGGTGTTAAAGTATTCAAGTATGTATCATTAATATCGCATGTATGGTTGTTAAATATATAATATACATGTGTATAATATTAATATTCAGGGATATTAAACAGTTTGACTTGAATGGTTGTAATATATTAAATATTACGTGTCGTAGTTCAACTAATTATCAAACGCGTCGGTATTGCATATTATTGAATTAATTAGGTACGAGCGATCTACCGGACGGCGTTCATAACGACAGAAATCCGCCTGTCCTCGGCCTCGGCTTAGACCCCATCAAGATCCGGCCTAACTTCCTGCAGACTCTCTACGCCATGCTACGCTTACGGGTGCTCAGACTCTTCAGGAACTTGCAGCTGCTCTACTTCACGATCGTCGCGCCGCTCGCTCTAATAGTGCTCGGCCTCTACTTGAACAGCATCCAGACGTTCGACATCAAGATGCAATCGTTAAAACTTAATAGCCGTAAGTGGTTGCAACTTATGCAAGGTAGGAGGTAATTGCGTGGCTCTGTTTTTATCTGCACCTTCAGTTCACACCCGAGGCTATAGAGCATGGCACGTCTTACGATTACGGATTTTTCCAAATTCATTCTCTATCAATCTCAATCTCAGTCCGTAGTCTTAATATTGAGAGAATATATACTTTTGCTCGCGAGAGTGCGTTTAGATTCGTATCTGTGATTTAACGACACTCTGGCTTCTCCCGGTCGGACAAACTCGCGAGTCTACGAAGACTAACGTCGCCTGGAAAATAATTAGAACTTTGATTCCACGACGAATTAGATTTCCTATTTGCCGCTATTCAGCACGAAACTCAGAGAGACTCGTTGCACTTGCGAAGGATCAGGCGATATTGCCCTCTTCTTTGCAGACACGTACGGCGAGGAGACCAAGATTGTCTACATGAATAACACCGATCGCGACATTTCCGAGTTGATGGACGGCATAGCTCAAGACGTGAAGCACATCGAGGAGTACGACGGCAATTTCGCGAATTTACTGAATATCGCGCCGCACATAGCCGCGTTCAACATTAACGACTACTGTCCACCGCGAATGAACCTGACCGTAATCTACAATGACACAATGCAACATTCCCTGCCAATCTTGCTGAACATTCTTTCGAACACTTATCACAGGTGAGTCTCTTCCGTCCGGATCCAAGAGAGAGAGAGAGAGAGAGTGAGTTCTCTCTTTTCTCATAAAAATATCTTTCTTTAGCTTTCTTTTCTAATTACCGTGTTTAATCAATTTCTCCTGGCTATCGTCATGTTCGAAATCTTTAATTATAAAATTTTCGACTTCCCTTGCGAGTTGGACTTCGTTGCATACCCGAGATCGAGACTTCTAAGCCTTTTAACAAGGTTTCTTTTTTACGAGTGCAAGACTATACCTCGCGATTCAACCTCCAACTCCTTGGAGGACCTCGGAGAACATATCTCTCTCTCTTAGTCCTGTTTCTCCTGTTTCGACCTGTCCGGTTCATTTGTCCGACCGGTTGGGTGACCCCACTCCGGTCAGCTAAACTACCGCCGACATGGTCCTCAGGGTCACCGAAACACTCAAGCCCTTCCCACCCGGCTAATGTAGCCTATGACAAGGTGGTGATGCTGCGGAAGGGGCAATTGAACGAATGACTTACAAATGTTTCAGATTGGTCTCGGGCAAGAACGAACCTACGCCGATCGAAGTGAAAACGCATCCCTTCCAGCAAACGTCGCAACCGCAGGAGTTCAAGATCGGCACGGCCAGCAGCGCTCTTTTCATCGGTATGGATTTCGTGTTGGTGCCGATCACTTTGGCGGTGGATATGGTGTACGATCGCGAGGTGAGGTGCCGTTTCGTCGAAGTCACTTTATTGAAATATACAGCACGATTCTATTCAACATCTTTCTACGGCGCCACACAACGACGACATAATTCTCACCGGACTTCTTCCGCAGATCAAGGCGAAGAACCAGCTTCGCGTGAACGGCCTGTCGTTCCCCATGTATTTCCTCAGCTACTTCATCGTGCTGGTCGGCCTGATGACCTTCATCTGCATGTGCATCCTCGGCATCATCTTCATCTTCGATGTGCCTTCGCTTCAAGAGCCACCGGCGATCATCACTCTCAGCACTCTCCTCATGCTACACTGCCCGTCATCCATCCTTTTCTCGACCTGCCTCAGCTACATGTTCGATAAGATGGACTCCGCGCAGAGCATCCTGCCGAACATCGCCACTTTCTTCGGCTTGATACCGTTCCTCATGGTGATGTTCATCGACATGCTGGGACTCGGTGAGTAGTACGGGATCGGCCCGTCGTTGGCGGTCGACAAGTTCGTTGCTTCCGAATCCTGCTCCTTATCACGATGAAGTCTTCGCGTCACGTTGCCTGTTGCTCAAGGTGGGACAGCGGCGCTCGCGTTGCACGTGATCTTCTGCCTACTGAACAGCATGTACGTGCCGTACGCCGCGGTTTACTACGTGGACCGCGTTTATCTCATGTGCTCGATCAACGCCGCCTGCCATCACCTGACCATGTCCGATTACCTCACCACGGAGATCATAGTGATGGCCATCGCGGTGCTGCTGCATTGTCCGATGTGGTTCTTTGTGGTGCTCCTGCTGGACATCAAAAAGAGCGGCGGCAAAGTCAGCGACTTCTTCAAGTATTACCTGGTGAGCGCAATTCCCGATCTCTCGCACGGTACCATCGCGTTCGTGTCGTCTCTACGTTTCGTTGCTGAGGTGTGAACACTACGACACATTGCTCCCCTTCTTAAAGAGAAAAGGCGGCTCCACCAGCGAAGAGATCATGGAGAACTCGGACGTCGGCGAGCACGAAGACGCGGACGTGAAAACCGAGCGCCAGAGAATCTTCAACCTCATCACCTCGTCGGCCGTTCAAGAACCGCCCGTGGTCTTGGTGCAGGTAAGTTGCTTCGAAGCGACCGTTCGTTGCGCCTAGCTATCGATCTTTCTCTCGTCGTGAATCGTCATACACCTTGTCCCATATTTCGCGCTCGTATTAAACGCAGAACCTGAGGAAAGAGTACCGGCAACAAGAGGCCGGCTCGTGCTCCTGCGGTTGCTGTTCGAAACGCGAGGAGCAGACTTCGCAGCGGAAGATCGCCGTGCGGAATCTCTCGCTGGCTGTGGAGCCCGGAGAAGTGTTGGGTCTTCTGGGCCACAACGGCGCCGGCAAGACCACCACCATGAAGATCATCACCGCAGAGGAGTCGGCGACGAGGGGCAGGGTGCAGATCGGCGGTCATAGCATCAACACTCACATGTCGGACGCCTTCAGGCAGATGGGCTATTGTCCCCAGCACGACGCCCAGTGGAAGAACATCACCGTGCGGGAGCACCTCGAGTGTTACGCCGCGATTCGCGGCGTTCCCTGGAGCGACATCGACAGGTTCCATTTTCCCTTTCCATTCTCTTGTCTCGGCATGCGCTTTGGTCGACGTGTATCAGTTCAATTCCCGCCCCTACGCTAATTCTCCTCGCTGACCTTTGCAGAATCGTGGACCTCTACCTGTCCGGTCTGCAAATCCACGAGCACGCCGACAAGCAGACCCAGGAGTGCTCTGGTGGGACTAGAAGGAAACTCAGCTTCGCGATGGCGATGGTCGGCGGGCCCAAGGTGGTCCTCATGGACGAGCCGAGCACGGGCATGGATCCCAGGTCGAAGAGATTCCTCTGGGACACGATCCTCGCTAGTTTCCAGGTCGGTGCTCTCTCTCCCTCCCTCCCTGCGAGTCTAAATTATTTCCTAAAGCCGCTCGATACATCTTTGCATTTTTCATGCATGTCTCTCACAATGTTCTTCAAAGTATCGCTGACTAGTAATCGAGGAGACGGCGTTGTAATGTAAATACAGGTACAATTGATAAGATAGCTAAAGATGAATAATGGGAACAAAGATAAAGAGAGTGACAATCATAGGCGCCGACTTAGGGGGGAGGGGGAGGGAAGACAGAGCACTTTTTGGCCCTCCCAATAATTTTATTGGAGGGGCGACGCCGCCCCAATAATTTATTAATCAAAATGAAATCCGTCGCGCGAATTTTTTACGCTTATAAAATAAATTAATAAACTTTCTTCCTTGATTTTGTGCATTGAATATTTTGCTTGTATATGCAAGTATATGTGTGAGGTGTTGAAAGTTAAGTTCAACGCCCTCGCGTACTTATAAATTAAGTCATTTTGTATCAAAAGTCCTTCATCATTTTGTAAACAACAACGCAAAATGGTAAGACGATACTTTTTTTCTTTAATTCAAAATGTGCTAATTCATAAGTTAACTTTTAACATCCTATATAATCTACACACTTCTAAATACTTTCACCCCTCCCCCTGGTAATGGTAAAGGACTACTAAAAGAAAGGTTATGACTTCTTGCCCCCCTGGTGGACAATTGTCAACGGTTTATCCTAAGAACAAAAGTTCTAACGCGTCCGGTTGTCCGCTCGATGTTGCTCAACAGGGTGGCAGGGGAGCCATATTGACCACACACTCCATGGAGGAGGCCGACGCCTTGTGTTCGAGGGTCGGCATCATGGTGAAGGGTGAGCTGAGGTGCATCGGCTCGACCCAGCACCTGAAGAACCTCTACGGGGCCGGCTACACCCTCGAGATGAAACTCATGGGCGGTGACTGCACGCCGACGACTCCCTCCGGCGACAGGGTCGCTGGCCTCAAGGAATTCGTCGCGGGCCTCTTTCCCGACGTTACTCTGGAGGAGAGCTTCGCCGACAGGCTCGTCTTCGCTGTGCCCCAACATGCTGTGAATTCGCTGGCCGAGTGCTTTACGCAGTTGGAGAAAGGTGAGCAGCAAAGCGATTTCGCGCAGCGTATCGAACAGTCCCTTCGAGGTTCTGTTCGAGGAGTTCAGAATTTGATCTCGGGGAATCATGAGAAACCGGAGAAACATTGGGAGAAGAATTGGAGTCGAGCAACGAAGCTTCTGCGGGTGCTTCCGTCGTCGTCGTCGTCGTCGTTGTCGTCGAGTATTTCAGTCAAACCAGCTACTAACAATCTTGCGTTTTAGAATTTCGTATCTCTCAAGTCGTCCAAGTTTCTAATTGCGAACTAGAAACTCACAAGCTAACCGCAATTAGCGCGAGGTAGTCGAGCGCGTTCGAAACTCGAAATAACTCGAGCAGTGAGTTCTTCCTCTCTCTCTCTCTCTCTCTCTCTCTCTCTCTCTCTCTCTCTCTCTCTCTCTCTGCTTCTCTCCTCCAATGGATTACAAATTCTTCGGTCGCGGCACTCGACGGCGCGAAGGACGAGAGAGGGAGAGGAAGGGGGCGGAGGAGCGGATCAAACTTCAGTCGCAAACTTTGAGCCGCGCGTGCACGAGGCGTGCGACTTCTCTCGCTATAATATTCCATGTGCTTCTGCTTGCAGCCAAGCTCGAGCTGGACATAGAAGAGTATAGCTTTAGTCAAACTACCTTGGAGCAAGTGTTCCTCAAGTTCTCGCACTACGACGAGGGCAACTCCGTGGAATGATGATTCCCGCTGATAGCAGCGTGCCGTCATCACTGTCGCCGTCGTCGTCATCGTCGTCGTTGTCTCGTGTCGACCGGTGACCCCGCGAGCAATGCGCGCGGAACGACCGTTCGTCTGCGCGCGAACGCGTGAAGAGGAGACACGTGGGTGCCTCCTCGAGGAGGGACGGACGACGCTTCGGAGTCTCTCGAGAGGCGCCGCCAAACGAATCTCCGTTGTTCACGGCGAGGAGTAGATAGGACGAAAAAGGGAGTGTTATATCGTTAACGGATTATCACTAGTGCTGTGTTCCGAGGGAGTATCAAGGTGACACATCGTCTCGTGCCTTCAGATCCTTTGGAGGGGCAATGAAGAAACGAATGATGGGGGATGATGCAGGGGGATTCCTCGATAGCTTTGAAGGCGTCGCGTCTCGCACGGCGAGAGCGCTCGCTCTCGGAGAGAGAAGAAAAGACGAGCGGCAGGCGACCGAGGGACGATTGTCTTTAACGATTAACGGGGTTTAATCTTGGAAGAGTGTCGAGAGAGTCAAGCCTCGAGGCGCTCCCGAGGCGCTCTCAACCACTGCGAGTGGTTGCGCTCGGAGAATAAGAGCAGCCTCCAACTATCGGGACGAGAGAACGAAGCGACTTATGAGAGCGACATGGAGAGGAACATCATCTCATGCGATCGATGGTCTCTCTCTCAGTTCGCGACAGCAGTATTAACACGAAACAGGGAACTAGGTACGGCGGAAATGTAACTCGCGAGCAGATTCAAGTGTGTGTGTGCGTGTGTGTGTGTGTGTGTGTATGTGTGTACCGACAGACTCTAGACCCACGACCCGAAGGAATTTAAGTAATAAAGCCCGCTTCGTAGCTCCAGACTATTGACGGAAGGCTGAACGAAATGGTAGAACAATGAGGGAACAGTTAGCCACTAGTCCTAGCTAGTTTCAGTTTCGAGGGAGTATCAAAGCGCCACAAGTCGCCTTGTAGCTCTATACCGATACGAAGGGACGCGGGGGAGGGCGATTAGGTAGAAACCTCGGGGGAGTTGTTCCAACGTCCTCGCAGAGGAGCGTCTTCACGCGAAGAACGACGGAGAGGCCGTCGGGGGATGTTGCGTCGACTGCACAGGAGGACTATGCGGCGAGAATCGTTCGCGGAGAACGGACAGACTCGACGGTAGTCGAGAGAGAGAGAGAGAGAGAGTAGGGGAATAAATAAAAAGACAACGTGCGTTATATAGCCGTAGCCGCGTAGAATCGCGTTTCGGGGACGCTCGAGTCGAAAGATGGTCGAGGAACGCCGACGAAGGGAAGTTCGCGCTTCGGACGCTTCGGTGCTTCGAAGAAGTAGAGCTTGAAGGGGCCGATCTCTCCCGAGGGTTGCAGGAGGATTACTGGTAGAGAGAGGGAAAGGATTATTGCCTTCCAGCTACCGAGGACATCCGGAGGAACAATGATCGATAGGACAATAGGAATAAACAGTTAGGAACAAATAGGAACCTAAATATTTAGTAGCGTTGTGTGCTTCGGGCTCGGGCTCGACGTGGGACTCGAACAGGGTGACAGCCCGGTGGATGCGCCGTCGTGCCGGCTGACGACGCGTGCACGCGCGAAACAACTCACCGAGAAGTTCTGTGTATTTACTGTGTAAATAGTCGCGGTCACGCGCGCCGCGGGGGCTGAGCATTGTCTGCAGGGCTGCAGCGGTCAAGCGCGGGATTCAAGCGGGAATTCGCGCGCTCGACGTTCTTGTCTGGCGTCCCTGTCCTTCCCCGTCAGCGCCGTCAGCTCGTCGATGTTCAGTCATCAGGAATATGAGACCCAAGACACCGACGACTGCGCGTCGGGGTATCCTGGCCGATCCAGACAACAACGTCCCGCGCGCCGTACCGAACGTGCCACGGGTAAAAAGAGAGAAAGAAAAAGGAAGTAAAAAAGAGACACGTTAATCAGCGTTCGCGAGGGGATGGAAGTCCCCGGGGCGTAGCGTCCAAGTTACACCGGTAGTCCACTTCGTATTTGGAAATTTAACGATAATAGATCTCGTACAGATATTGCACTGGAATTGGGGCGCACGAAGGTCCTGAGTCCTGCCGGACGGGCAGGACGGCTCGCGCCGCGCGGGGATACAAGATCGACGGTTCGGCTGGAGAAACAGCGAGACTCGGCCGAGTATTATCTGGCGCATTGAAGGGAGGGGGGGGAGGCCTGGCCTTCTTATGCCGGAACGGTCGTTCGGATTCTCCTCTTTCGATGGCTCCTTGTCCTTGTTTTTTACGCGTTTATCCTGCGCGCAGGATAGCCGTTTCCTAAGCCGGGCGAAGGAACGAGTGGCTCGAGAAGGCTCGACTGAGGTCTCCTCTCCCGTCATGAGTTCCCGGCATTTCGAGAACGAGAGATTAGTTCGGGCGGGTTTTTTCTTTATTTTGACGTTTCTCTATTTTTATTCTTTCTTCGTTCGTTCACCTCGACCGGTACACGCTTTGTACATGCGAGATTTCGTGTCGTCCACTTGTCGAGCCGAGCCGTCGATGTGGCGCCGACGTGAGTCTTATCAGGCTGTGCTGGATACAGCGAGTTACGCACGAGAGGTGTTCGAGAAGCAGCTTTCGTCGTGAGATAACGTCACTGTAAGAGCACTGTACCAGCTTCTTGACAGCTAACGATAAACCCTTGACATAGCTAACGATTCTACGTCATTTCGAATTTCAGGTTCACGATGTCGAATACCGATCTAGATCGAAGACTCGACGTGTGCACCTGCTATACCTGCACTTCTACAAGATCGAGCAGAATATTCTTTCCTAAAATTACAAATAAAAATATCTGGAAAAACGGAGAGTGAAGATACATCGAAATAATCTCACTGGGATCTGTGCTCAAGGCGCGGAAGATTAAATTAAATTAAAAAAAAAAAGAAAGAAAAAAATGTTAAAACACCGCACACGAATGGCCCTTTTTGTTGCGGGCGCCGCGGTGTGTCCCGCGTGTATCCGCGTTATCCGATCACAACGACGCGTTTCATCTTCTTTGGTTCAAGCGAGATGATCAACGTGCCTTCAGTTGAATTCTCGAGAACGACGGAAAACGCATTTCTCGAACATCCCTCGCATTTTCTATACACACGTACTTAGAGTACTACTCCGAAGGAGGACCGTAGTCCTGAAGTAAAACAAAAACGGAAAGCGCAAGAATGACACGGCTTATATAGTTTCGAGCGCAACAGGCGTTTCTCCTGTGTGATATAAAATCGTAAGCGAACACTCTTTACTGTTGAACATCGATCAAACAATACAGCGAACGATCTCGAGAGAAGGAAAACAGTCGCAGCTGAAAACGTCGCTAATACCGCGGAGTTAACTCTTTGCGCGCGCGTCGCGCACCCGTCGCCGCGATCGATCGCGCGTCGTCGTTCAAGCGAATCGACCGAGAGTTCGTTATTAACCGAATCAATTAAACCGAATTGAAAACAAAATATGAAAAATCATTCTTTCCCCACTGGAGGATATTTTTTCTCTTCACGAGCAAAGCGAAGATCGGTGCAGATAGCGATGAAGATCGTTTTCCCTCGCTTCGTCAGGTCCAGCGCGTCTCGCGCGAAGGAATCGCGCGTGATGTTTATTATTCAAATGATTTTCAACGGCTGTTACAAGCGCAAAAGTTCGCGGGACGAACCTCCGCAACTTCCGTTCGAGTGACGATTCCGAGCGGCAAGCGCGACTCGCTCGCACGAGTGATACCGAGAAGAAGCGCAAAGAGCTAAGATCGGCTTCCTGTTGAGAATAATCTCGCACAACACTTCAGCCAGCGTGGACTGTTCAACATTAAGCAATATATGCGAAACAAAATTAACATAGATACGAGTATGTAATTGAAGGCATGAATATGGTAAAGGGCGTCAATTAACGCGATCGATCGCTCGATCAGGTCGGAAGATACCTTAGTCCCTTCAGTGAGCAGATTATTTGTGAGATGTATCCAAATTGATTTCTATATTATTTATAAATATTCTATGCACAAGCCGTGTTCAAACTCGTCGACACAGACGTCCCTCCCTCAGAGAGGGGAAGCAATCAAACTCAAATAGTCTCTCCCAATCTTCTTCCCAATTTCTCTTCATTCCCCAACGGTGGTGGTCTCTTTCTTTTAACAGCGTAATTTTGATTCGTCGACAGGAAAAAGCTTGAATTTCCCGAAGACAGCCCGAGGACGGAGAAACAAGAGTACTGTTTTTTCGCGTCTGCCCTCTTGTTAGGAGGCAAAGAAGATGCAGTCACACAGTGTTTGTTTGGCGCAGCTTGTGCATGAAATAACAAATAATTGTCTCAGCATTATAGAATAACTTGGAAGTCTCGCGAAACTTCCTGCGAAACAACACGTGTATATAAACTTTCTTGGTCCTGTAAAAAGAGAGTGTAACATGCTTTTTATACAGATATCATTCACCGAAGATTTTAGAAGAGGATCCCGCTTTCATTGGTTTACGAAATACTTTCGAGATGACGAGCACGTGCTCGTCGTCCGACTTTTCACGTAAGACGTAGTCAAATTGAATAAACTCTATCTAAACATCAAACTAAATGACGGTCGGTTAATATAAATATATATACATATATACATATACAATAATATATATATATATATATCTCTCTCTACCACGCGAAATAGTTTATTTATATTCCGGACCGAGGATTCCGAGATTCTCGCGATAGCATTTCCGCGAGTTACGTTGCTTAGAACATTGCGATTTATGTTACTTAGAACAGAGGCGTACACGTATTTCTCCGTATTTGTTTCCAACTTGGTTATTACCCTTTTATATCTTTTCTAACGCCCGCATAAAGCAATTATTACACGAGTGGTCGCGAGTTGAGTTTTCATGTGCGCGAAGCAAGCATATAAATAATAATAACACTATCGATCTCTTGTGATGGAAATTAACAATGAAACGGTAACGTTTTAATTTCCACTCTGACGTGTCCGTTACACGCAGTTAGCATAATTTCGCAAAAGCGTCACGAATTAATTATATCTTGTATCACAGCTTAACGTCGCATAATTTATCGTCGTTATTTATTATTTATTAATTTATTTATCGTTTAGTGAGTTATTATTATAATCGATAGCCCCCTCTCTCGCCTCCTTTGCGAAAGAAAATCATTATTTTTATCCTTGTATGTTGTGCGAGCGCGTTCCCGTGCAAAGGAAGAAAGAAAGTGTCGCGCCGAGGGTTTAAAAGCTTCTGTTTATAAAATACCAGTCCGCATCATCACATCTTCGTGAAAAATAGGCGGACAAAGAGGGATTGACGGGGATTCACTCTCTGCGGGAAATTTAATTTCCGTGTATAAATATCGAAATATCGAGAATGCACTCGAGTAAGTCGGATCAAGCTTTTTCTCGCTGTACCTGTCTAGTTACGGATCGACGATGTTTTATATCGCGCGGACAGTTAGAAAAGAGTAATTCGTCTGATGACGTGTAATTCGCGTCTGCACGAGCTAAAAGAAACGGAAAGAAAAGATGATTCGAGAATGATGTCAGGATGTCGAGCACATTTATTCGGGACACATTAGGGATTCGCGACTTCATAGAAAAGAATTCCCGTCAATTTTTCTCTCGATCGGCTATTCTTCACGGGGAGTGCACTAGTCACACACACGTACTCCTATTCTAGCGTATCTCGATGAAGTTTTATTCGATATATACATATAATACACGTCGAAAAAAAAAGAAAATTGCCTGTCCATAGTGTTTACCGAGTGGCCATTTGTATCTCGCCGTAACAGGACCGACGGAGGCTTTCCGGAAGATAACTTTGTAAAAAAAAAAAAGAAAAAAAAGACAGACACACACATGATTTAGGTCGAACTAGGCTTTTCTCGTTGATACTTTCAAGCTTATGTAGAACTGTTTCTTAGGGTTTTCAACAAATTTCTTAAAATAGAATAAAATCCGAAAGAATTTCGTACGACAAGTTCGTTTGAGCTGAATCATTTTGACTCTCCGTATTATCCCGTTTCCAACTCTGATCCCTCGGTACTCGCAACTCTCTCACGACTCTCTCGTTACTCTCTCGTTCATTATTCACGAACGGAAAATTGATTCTTTTAAGCCGCGCCATGATTGAAACACGAACCAAGAATTTCGACGGAGAAAGAGAGAACGAAATTTACAAATATATTTTAGACGAAGGGAAGTTGTAAATTTATTTTCGTCCGTCTTATAACTTCCGTTTGTGACATACAATTCATAGGTAATAATTAGTAGGTTTACATGCCGTCGGCGTTCAACGAAACTTATACGCTTCCATTTAGTTTATATTCCTCATGAAAGATTACTATACGATAATAACAAACTTCGCTCTAAGAATACATGCTACTCTTATAAGTATGATTTTTATCGAAAATTTACTTGCTTCTGAATCGGAGGGAAGGGGGGGTTTCAATATTTTCAAGTATTACAATTTGTTTTAGCGCAAATATGAATCGATTGGTTTAAGTAGACGAAATTAGGTAATTTGAGCTGATACTTTGAGAACATTTTTTTTTTAATGTTTGAGGGCGATATTGACTTTATAAATTATAGTTTGAATTAAAACGTACGACTAACTCACCGAAATTATTCCTAAGCAACCATGAAAAAAACATTCAAGGCTTATATTACTATTATAAGTTGTTAGTATGCTAACATGCTTCAACAATTATGTCATCGAATCAACCTAATTATACTTTACATAGCAATACTATCACGTACGACACAGAGAGAAAGAGAAAGGGAGAGGGGGAGAGAGAGAGAGAGAGAGAGAGAGAGAGAGAGAGAGAGAGAGAGAGAGAGAGAGAGAGAGAGAGAGAGAGAGAGAGAGAGAGAGAGAGAGAGAGAGAGAGAGAGAGAGAGAGAGGAAGAGACGAGAGAGAGAGAGAGAGAGAGAGAGAGAGAGAGAGAGAGAGAGAGAGAGAGAGAGAGAGAGAGAGAGAGAGAGAGAGAGAGAGAGAGAGAGAGAGAGAGAGAAAGAGAGAGAGACATGAATGCTGATTCTCTAGTCCCTGCATATTTCTTTCTTCTTGGTTTAATCAGCGTAAAGCACTGACATTCCAATGAATAAAAGTAGAAAAATGTAACATGCATCGGACAGAATATAAAAGATAACGTCTCGTCGACGAGGGAACGTTTGAAACGTCTCTCTCGCCGATTTCTATAAAACAGCTAAAAAAATAGTTCTTATTACGCAGCTTTGCTGCGACTTTAGAAATGAAACAATCTGTTTGAATATCTTTATACAAAGTGATCCTTAACTTTGTCAACTTCTTTTGGATAGCTATTGGAGAGATGGGATTCATCTCTCTAATCTCTCTAATTCTTATAAGTACATGTATATCTACATATTGACGTTTTGAAATAATCTTCACTACTTCCAGTGAAACTTGAAAAAGAACAGATCCCTAGGTGATTTTAAATTACGGTGATGAGACTTACATAATGAAGAAAAAATACATATTTGAAAATGATCAAAATCAAAAGAACTAGTTGCAAACAGTACAATAAAAGAGGTGTTTAGAAACAGATAATTCTTTGTTCTACTAAAACGTAGCTTTTACTCCCTATTTTTATCCTACACACTCGATTCATTCTAAGATAAATTATTTATCTCATTACTTCTAACATTCTTTTCTTTTTGTCTTACTTTTTTTACTTTTTGTCTTTCTTTTTGTCTTGTTATAATATATGCGGAGCACGTATACATAGATATATTTATGATTGATATTCGTGCACGCAAAAATATTCGACCACATATAACTAATATAGTATCTTGAAAATAAATCTTACGAGATATCTAACTACTTAATTACTCTCGTTTGTGTGTTTTATATATATACATATATATATATAAAACATATACACATACGGCAGACATGAGTTGCAAACGCGAGTGTAAAAATTGCATATTATGGCAAATTACTCGTGTACAATAACGTTAATACGAACGCAAATGAACGTTTGCGAACGTTGACGTCTCAATAAAATTAATATACGTTTTATCATTCTCTATTCATCAATTTTTTCCTCTTTTTCTTTTAATTTTCTAAGAGATTTTGTCAATATGTTCCTTGTAAATATAACGACAAAGAGATAATTAAATCAATTCTTGAATATTAAATAATTTTATACAATAATCCAATTTTATATAATAATCTAATCATAGCAAAGTAATTTGTTGTTTATATGTTATAAACTAAATCGATTAAATAATAAATATAATTCTATAATACACATTCAAATTGTTGATTGGTGAATTCAAGATCTAATTAGAAGATAGACTAAAATGTTCCTTCTCATTATTTTCGATCGAGGAAGATAAGAAAGTTATGACTTCCGGAATATATGCAATTCCAGCAAGTTAATATTATAGTTCCATTCAACAGATCCAATATTTATTCGTGCAATGCTACTGAATTTGATTGATATAAATATATAATAATTTTTTATGTACTCAATCAATCAAAAATAGACATTCAATTTTTGCACCTATTGAATGCAATCTAAGTCAATGGCTCCCAAACTTGTCCAGATGTTTAACTCCTTAATTTTATAAAATCTATTTTTTATATAAAAACTAATTTTCATATAAAAATTCTTTAAACAGAAATTACATATAGCTTTTACGTATATATATACAGGGTGAGTCAATTAAAGTGTTACAGACTTATATCTTGGAAATGAATAATTTTAGAGAAAAATGTTTCAGACAAAAGTTGTATGGTGTCAAATGAGACATAAGAAGGTATCATTGATTAAACCTTGATTAGCCATTTGAAGGTTACGTGAAGGTCACCAACAATTTTTCAAATGGAACGCCCTACTTTTTTTGGCATATTCTTATAACGTATTTCAAGAGCTTTCCAAAACACTACAACAAAGTATCTTTTTGTTAAGTACATCCCGAGTTATGAAGCTTCAAAGTTGCAGTACCGCCGGCATTTGTATTATCCAAGGTGTATCGCATGGAGGTTGCACGGTCGGATTTACACCTCTTTGTATGTATGTGTGCGCGCGTGTGTGTGTGTGTGCGAACACGCGCGCGCGCGCGCGCACACAACGGGTGTAAATCCGATCGTGCAACCTCCACGCGGTACACCTTGAGTAATGCTAAGGCCGATGATACTGTAAATTTGAAGCTTCATAACTCGGGATGTACTTAACAAAAAAATACTTTGTTGTAGTGTTTTGGAAAGCTCTTGAAATACGTTATAAGAATATGCCAAAAAAAGTAGGGCGTTCCATTTGAAAAATTGTTGGTGACCTTCACGTAACCTTCAAATGGCTAATCAAGGTCTGATCAATGATACCTTCTTATGTCCCATTTGACACCATACAACTATTATCTGAAACATTTTTCTCTAAAATTATTCATTTCCAAGATATAAGTCTGTAACACTTTAATTGACTCACCCTGTATATGTGTGTGGTGTGTGTATATATATATATTCTTATAAAAAAAAAAGTGAAAGAGAAACGTCTATATACGCGAAGAGTCTAGCATAAAACATTTGGGAACCAATGATCTAGGGCAGAGCTCGGCAAAAAATGTACGCGACGGCCGATTTTCGACTATCTCCGCCCACCGCTGTTCCTTTTACCTCGCCACTCCGCATGCTGCCTACAAGCCGCTCGAGCCTCAGGAGCGTGTTTCCAACAGTTTTCCACGTCACCCATGAGGTACTATTGTTGACGCATTTTTTTTTAGTGGTATCCCCAGTAGGCCTAATCCACTGATGACTGTAACAACCCGTAACTAATTGAACAGAAGCGAAATAAAATATGTTAAATGAAGAATATTTAATTCGATTTTCGGCGTCTTTTATTAGTAAAAGCGGAAACGTCAATTTGCATATTGCATGTAGCGAGCCGCATAAGACGTGGTAAGGAATCGTCGTTTAAAGAAGAACGCTTCTCATTTTTTATAAACTTCATTTTCAAAAATTATAGATTATAGATTATAGATTATAGAATTATAGATTAGGCCTACTGGGGATACCACTTAAAAAAAAACGCGTCAACAATATTACCTCATGGGTGACGTGGAAAACTGTTGGAAACACGCTCCTGAGGCTCGAGCGGCTTGTAGGCAGCATGCGGAGTGGCGAGGTAAAGGGAACAGCGGTGGGCGGAGATAGTCAAAAATTGGCCGTCGCGTGCATTTTTTGCCGAGCTCTGATCTAGGGTACTGATCGTACTTACATATAACTTTGTTAGTAACTTCACACAGGCTTATTGAAACAAAAGAGATCAAGCCGTAATCAAAGATACCTTTTTTTCTCCAATAGATGGAACTAGAAGCTTATTTATACAAAAAAACTTACGGTTTATTATGAACAGTATCGACCGACCAACAAGTAAAAGCAGCCGACCTCTTCCTCTTGTTTCTCTGTCTCTGTCTCTGTCTCTTTCTCTCTCTTTATATTTTTTGTTTCCCATTTGTGTTTTCCAACAAGTCGACAAAACAATAAGAATATAACAAAATCCATAATTGTTTCATGTTTGCATACGGGCGATCGCGTTTTTCTCAAAAAATCAGAGTAATAAATAAAAAATATAAAAAACGAAAAATGCGTTGTATTTTAAGATATCTATTACTGTGTAGGGTCGTAGCACACCATCGAACCAATCAGCATCGTCTCTTTCTTCATGTAGACAAATACAGTCGATGGTAGTCGTTTGCGCCGAAGGCGCAGTTGCACTTCGGGCATTTCCGTTGTCGCGTTTCGTAACGCGTACGCAGACAGTCCCAGCAAAACACGTGGAAGCACTTTGTGAGTACGGCGTCTTTGCGTTTCACCTTGCAGGATGGGCAAGTGAGCGTTTCTTTGTATTCTCGCAACTCCTCCGCCATCACCTCGTCCAAGGTCTCGGCAAGCTCGATTTTCTTCATACGCTCGACTTTACGTCGGAGTTGCGCTATCTCTTCCTGCAAATAAATTTAATAAATTGATAGGATAGTGCTAATGGCTGTGATTACGTGTGTTACATGTGTGTAGCTGAATGTGTATATGTAAACAATAAAGGATACAAAAAAAAGTTTGAAGAAAGATAAAATAAAACAAGATAAAATAAAACTTGGTTTTTCAAAATCCTCGTTATTTGTATCAATAATTTAACACATTTCTTATCTATTATACTGTATTATATATCTGAAGTTTTTTATATTAAACCTCGTATTACTAACTGTTCTGACTCAACTCAACACTAGATACTGCTCAATGAAGATTAAATTACAAATAGATTACAATCGGAAACAGAAAAATATAAATCGATGTGAAAATATAAATTCGATTTATTACAATTGCTCATTGTTCACTCGTATATATATATATATATATTTCGAAGTTACATATATTTATATTTCTGTAATTAATAAAATTTTTATAATTGATGTATATGTGTAATCTAAGAGAAAGGGTGAGAGACAGAGACAGAGACAGAGAGAGACAGAGAAAGAGAGAGAAAGAGAGAGAGAGAATATGTCGATAAAATAAAATAAAAACAAAAGTCACTAAAGTGACTCAGTGAACAGTATTGAATGCACGTAATAATTGTGACGTTTAACAATATTTAATCGTGTACATAGTATAATAATAGTATAATAATAAATTCTAGTCAATGTATGTACCTGCAATCTTTTAGTTTTATACGCTTCAGCCTCCAAAGAGCTTGTCTTTTCAGCTACTACTTGTTGTGCTTCTTTCATCTGGGAATGATATTTTTCTGTAACAAGAATCGTTTTGAACAAAAGTCTCTTCTTGAAAACAAATTGCGTTACATATTTTACATTATACGTTCAGCATCTACATATTTAGCATTTAACATAAGAAATCTCACCAAGATGGAGTTTGAGATCGGCGGCTGATTGCGCGCTTTCTATCGCTTTTCGTTTGTGCATCTCCATCGCTTGTTGCCTCACGGCTAATTCTTTTTCCACCGTCGCGAGGGAATTTTGCAAAAGACGTTCCTTCTCCTCCAATTTTCGCACGACGACATTGGCTGCCTCCACCTGCGTGGTTAATGTGGACACTTGCTCCTTCAATACGTCTTTCTCCTCACGCGCGAGCTTATGCAGCTGATTACTCTTAATTCTTTCTGTCATGAGCTTGAAATTCGCGTCGTCCTTTTCGCGTAGCTGCTGTATCAGTCTCGAATTCTGTTCCTGCATATCCTCAAACGCCTGTCCAGTTACTTCCATCTCATTCAGAAGCGCTTCCTCCTCCTGCAGCCACACACAATTCTGTTCAGTGTTACACCACCGTTACACACCAATTCTGTTCAGTGTTACAAGACTGTTACACCACTGTTACACCACCATTCGCGTACACCACAACTACAAAGATCAAATAAACTCTGCTTCTTAACACTAAAAGCTTCTAAGATTATACGGAACAATGAGAGATGCCGATCATCGTTTTGTGGTATCGATAGCTACAGTAAACACAGGAAATTCTATGAAGTGCGATCTACCTGTTTTTGACAAGCCACTTGACGTTGCAACGTGTATGCCTGATCCTCCAATTTTTTAATTTTTATCTGCGCATCCTCGTCAGCCAATTTTTTACGTTCTTCGCGTTTACTTTCCTACGAAGATATTATTTGTAATATTACGTTATGTTACATCATATAATTGTGTTATATTTTATTATATACTATGTAATAATTGTCATATTACACGCGCGATATATACGTCATAATCGTACAAGGAAAATGATTGTGACTTACTTGAATTTTCTTAATCTGTTGTCGCAAGTCCTCTAATTCCGCCCTTGTTTTACGTTCTGCAGCCATCAACTGTACTTTGTCTCGTTGCTCTTTTCCAACGCCTTTGTACATGTCCAACAAAAGTTTCATCTCTTTCATTTCGTTTACAGCCTTCCTGTAATCAGATATCTGTTGCCATCTTCTTTTATTTTCTAATATTTTACATCGTTACACCTACACATAACGATCCTTTGGTCATCAAAATTTAATAAAAATATCTCAGAGTTAAACGTCTTCAAAATATGAATTTAAAATTTAAAACGGCAAAATATGAGAAGGAAAATTTCATATTTTTCTCTTACAATGTTGGAATTTTCATATTTTCATAAAATACTATATTCAAAATATATTCAAAATACTTGTTCCTCCTAACATTAATTAAATTTTAACTTGAGTTGTCTAAAAATAGAGTTTAAATTCAGGTTTAGTCTTTTAATTTGGTAGAAATAGATAGAAATGTCAAAGTCTCTCAAGCGTTTGCGAGTATATTTCGAAATCCTAAATTAATATTTTAAGACATATTTAACTTTGAAAGCGACATATATATATATATATACGTAAGCAAGAATATAACATAAAACATGCAGTAAACATATGCATACTAGTTTCGAAAATATACGATGTTTCTACCAACGTACTTTAATTGTGCTTTCAAATCCCTCACAAGTTCTGATTCTGCCATTTTTGCATCCTTACTACGATGTGCCGTATCACGATGCTCGGTTTTTATCGATTCTTTCTTAATATCTTTCTCACGTTTTATATCCTTCTCCTTTTTTATTGTGGGTGAAGTTAACGTTATAGAATCGGGAGTTCCTTTGCTGCCTTCACCTTCTCCCACTTCGATAGTTTCCACTTCCTCATCAACAACTTCCCTTTTTATGGTCACACCACTTTCTTCTTTTATCTATTTGCCACGTTAGAGATAAAATATTAATAGCAAAAATAAATGAAATGAATGTCTTGCTTATAATTAACTCTCGCCGAACGATGTCTGGATTAGACATCGTTTGGCCTAATCCTAGGCTCGAACCCACGCACCATAGTTTGTGCGGTTGCCAGAGCCGTCAGTATTGCAAGAATTAAAGAATACAGGAAAAGTTCTTGAGTTCTTCTTAATACAAGTTTATACGTTGTGGTACCTGCGCAGAGCCTGGTAAGGAGTTAGATGTATCCTCTTCTTTTCCGCTGCCGTCTGAATTGTTACCTTCTTTGTTTTCTTGAGACGTTTGCTGGCCTAATTTCGCCGTCAATTCCTCCACCTCTTTCTTCAGCTACACATTTAATAAACAATTTTTTTATATAAATATTGAGAAAACTTGTAGCGGCGTAATTTATAAGTACAATTAAAATAACTTGATAAATACTCGTGGTATCTCAGTGGAAGCTTCCTTGTATTTTCGCTTATAACGAATCACTTCCCCTTTTAATTGCTGATTGTGATTCTGAAGGGAGGTGATCAAATGACGCATCTCGCGATTAATCGGACCTGTTTGCTCGTTAGCTGCTAAGTTTTGCTCGAATTCGATACGAAGCATTTCGTATTCCTTACGCAATTGCGCCAAGACATCTTCGAGTTGTATACATTCCCCGCGTAACTTTTTTTGTGCCAATAACTCTTCGCTCTATATAAACGGTATCACATAGATGAGATTAAAACTATAATTTTCCAATTTTAAGTTCATCTCCGAATCTCCTTTTATACATGTCAGACTCACCTCCATCATCTCGATGTGGCGTAAATGTATATTCTTACTCGACTGCAATTGTTGACGAGCGTCATCTAATTGTGTTTTTAATTGCATAGACTCATTATATAATACAGAAAACTGCGATTGCAGACATTTATACTCAGTCGTTTCCACGATAACCGATTCAGGCAATTGTCTTATCTGGTATTAACAGCAAGTTCATTGGTGTTTTATATTTATTTTGTTTTACTATGATCTAATTAAGACTGCAAAATTAATTATAATGTACTCACATCCATCTTCAATTTCTCCACTTCTTTCAAAGTGTCACGATGTTGTTGATGCAGTTTATCCAATTCTTGTAATCTATTGTTAGCTAATTCTCGCGTCTCCTCCAACTCTCTTTGCAAATCCTCAAGCTGTACAGATAAAGAAATATGATAGCATTAAAATATATAACTTAAGTCGAAATTTTTATTTTTTAAATTAATTTTCAAACAAAACAAAAGATTCTTTTACCTTAGTCTGTGAAACACTAGACGCAACCAAAGTACTAGGTTTGTTGCTGCCTTTTTCGTCTGTGCCATGAATTTGTTGGAAAGCTTTTAACTTTTCAATTGCCTCTCCAAGGTGATGTTCCAATTTATCATTTCTTGCTCGTACTTTATTCAATTCATATTGCAAATCATCTACCTGATTTCGTAATTCTGCCGCAAGTGTATCTTTTCCAGTTATAGTATCTTGCAATTCTGACATCTGCAAAGAAAGATTTGCACACATTTATGTAGGAGAGGGAAGGGAAATACTTTGTGATAATCATAACTTGTAACATATTAAGAAAAGGATGGTTGTGTATGCGCAATGATGTGCAAAATAGTTACAAATATAACCTAAAATTATAAAAGACAAGGTTAAAAAGTATATTATTAAAAAAATATAAAAATCTAAAATATAGAAGAATTGTGAACATAAGAGAAATGTTATCGCATTACCTTCAGTGAAATAGTATGATACTTCTCATGCAGTTGTATATTTATTGCCTGCAAATTTCTATTTTCCATTTGTATCTCGGCATTTGCACGACGTACGACCTCATCAATATTTGGCGCCTCATCTGTACACACAGAAACTATCTTAAGATTACAACATGAATAATTTTAAATACACTATCCAAAAATTATATTTACCACCATCAAACTGTCCTTTGAGTGCAAGTGTGATCTTTTCATTTCTTTGAGATAAACGGTCAAATGCCTGTACAACTTTAGACACCGCTCTCTTAGATACCTGTACACGATTTGCTAATTTGTCATCCAATTCTTCTTTATCCCAAGAAGATAATTGCATGAGGAATGATGTTGTAGCCTCACTTTCGTCTATAACAAGGTTAAAAAGTATACTATTAAAAAATATGTACACTAAATTATCATTATATTGCTTTCCCTTTAGATTCTTCTTACTTTTATTTTCTGATTCATCAGCAGTTTCAGCATCAAATCTTTGGAGTAATACACGTATATCCTCATTAAGTTGATTCCAATATCGATTAACTACATTAAGTACTGCATCATCCTGCATTTGACGTTTTTCTAATTGTTCAATCCGTTGTCTTAGTTCAGCTTCCACTCTATGTCTTTGCTCTAATCTCTGAAATTAGTATAGATATTAATATTAGATACAATATTTACAAACTAAAATATGTATTGTATTTACTTATACATATATATATATATATATATATATAAAAGTAAATATATATATATATATGCTATGTATAGTTATACAAATATAAAATCTCCAAACCTGTGCCAGTTTTTTGTTCTGAAATTGTAACACCTTCATGTCCATTTCTTCTAAAGTAGATATAGGCCCGATTAAAATCGGCTCAAACTGAACTTTCTTGATAGGTGGTTGAGAACTAGTGTCCCCATTATCTGCTGATCGTTTCATCATTTTTGTTTGAAGAAATGTTTATGCCTTATCTGCAAAAAGTATGTATGTATGTATAATGAAATTGGCACTGTATTTCTTTTTTCTATTTATAATATACATAAGCGCCAGAAAATAAATATCCAAAAGACTTTACGTAAATACTATATAAGATATATAAGCCACATGTTGGGTTACGTTAGGTTAACAGTATTCAACTAATTGGCTACCAAGTACATTTTATATTACTTAAAGTATAGAGACAAGAATAATTATAATTTTACACGACTATTCAACGATAATAACTCATAATGTCATTTTTTACTTTTATTCATTCTGTATTAAAACAAGTATAAAGTGCAGTGAGTCACAAGTAAATTGCGTGGAATTTCTGTCGGACATTTCAGTAGCTATTCGAACACAGTGCAACAAGACTTCTCATTTTTTTTTCAGACCACAGAATATGTCTAATACTGAACCGTTGGAGCAATTACTATTGTTATTGATCATGGCCGTGAGCGGGTACGAACATACCTTGAGAATAAGCTTGATAAAGTATGTCCAAGATCCACCTAATGTTTCGTAATTAATACGTTTTTCGTATTTATACGCCAATACATTATTTTCTGATGAAAGTTGCCTTCCACGTCATACTCGCCGCTCCAAATACCTGCATTTTATGCTGGAAGAGCTTCTATGGATACGCCTATAAAATAAGCTCCTAAAGAAGGGCTCCCTCTCTCTCTCTCAATATCGGCTCCAAGCGCCCCCTAAAGAAGGGCGACGTTTAACACAAGAATCGATAGTCTTTGATGAGGAATCGACTATCTCCCCAGTCTTTCCAAATTCAATCGATTTTCGCAGCGATAGTTCTTTTAATTCGATAACTCTAGACTGTTGTTAGTTCCGATGTTTCCGTTACGAGCCGCCACTATCCCTACGGCGAATTCAACGACGAGTTAAATCAGGCCGTGTTCCAAAATTCATTGCCAGTACGGAAAATATATAGTTTGTGTCACGCAAATTATAACTTTTCAGCGCTGGCAGTGAATTTTGGAACACGGCCTCAATCTCTTCGCCAAGTAAAACAACTTAATGATATATCAAACAGACACGATTGGTTAGATTTACCTTGTTACATCGTGTATTCTTGCATATTGTGTGACATATGTATATTTCCATAATTTATCTCCTTCGAAATAATTCAACTGTTATTTAACTAGAATATTGTAGTTATTTCAGATTGATCGAAATAAAAATCTACAACAATGACAGAAAAGATAACTTTGTCAAAAAATATACTAGAGATGAAGGTAAGTTTAATAACTTAAAATGAAGTCGTAAAGACTTTGCAACTAATGTTAAGTTAATTCTAGTTCATGAAACGAACAAAAGAAAAAGTCGACAAACAACAATATCAAGAAGAAGGAGAGCTTTACTTTGGAAGCCAAGTTACAAAACGCATGAAAAAAGAATCGTAAGTACTTACTATATAGATTCCAATTAATACGGTTGCTTATTTTCCCTTTATTATTTTTTCAGAAATAAATGTGAAGTATATTCAGGTATATACACAATAATGTAAATTTACGATGATATAAATTATTTGGTTCCATTAATACTAATACATAAAAATATAATAATAATATTTGGATCTTTCTTTATTCTTTAACCAATATATATGAATTGCTAACAATTGCTTCTATTTTATTTTTCAGAGAAAGATTCATCATGGAATCAAGCTATGTTTTTTGTGAAAAACTTGTCAGTGGTAGAATGAGTTTTCAAGGAATGAATCCAGTAATTGAGAGGTATATGGAATCAATACAGAACCAAGAAAGAATAAATGTAGAAGAAAGCAAGCAAGTTGATATATCAGATGAGCAAATGTCTGTTCAATGGCAGAAAATACGAGGAAAGTTTGAATCTATGCAAAAGCATAAGAATCCACGGTACAGTGCGGTTAAAGATGAGCCATTAAAAAAGAAAAAATTCTTAAAACCAGTAGATTGATATAATGTAAATAATATTAAGAGGATAATCGCTAATTTATATTTCGATACCTTTGAGAGACCAAAGAGACAAATTGTCTCTGTGGAACTAAAGCTCACAAACTGTGAAACTTCGAAATGTATTACCTTTACTTGGTTAATCTGACATAAATCAACTATCATAAGATGATTTAAATGTGTTATTAGAAAAAAATCACTCAATCATATGAAATTTGTATTTGTATTTCATATTAAACATATTTGTATTTCATATTAAACATATACATGTAATATATTTTTCTTACTTATTAGTGTTTTGCTCAAAAAACAAATTTGCAAAATAAATAGCTAATTTTTTACTTCCACATTTCTTCGCTACATAGTGTAATGCAGTGGGTAATGCTGCCGAAATGTTTCTACGCAAACATGGCCTGTGCAATCTTTCAGCAATATTTTTTGCTAAAGTGCATTAAAGATATTCTTTAACAATTTGAAACCGACATTTTCAAACATATTACGAATATCTTCTTTATTACAAATTTACAAATCATATTCTTTAAGGAGAAAATTATATATGTTTTAATTGTTTCTTATTTGAATGTATACCAGTGTGTATTAGCATTGTACTTCCGACTTGGCAGATGGAAGTCCAGTCGCATGAATCTCTGTAATATTTTGGAAAGTTTGTATTGCGAATATTCGTTAACTTGATATCGAGGCAGAAAAAGAGAGAGGAAAGAATACTAAGTAATTGTCAAGAGTATTGTCATTGTGGTATATATATATATAACACAATGACTATATATATATATATATATGTATATATGTAATCAAGATGTATAAAACTATTTTAGAGGTCTTATTACTGTTATCAAACGTCGAAACGTTCCCTATGCTACCGACATATGTGGTAATGTAATCCGAACTTGTCGATGACACTTCTAAAATAATAATTCTTGATAATATTGCCGTGCCACTATAAAAAGGATTAAATCCTTCGAAACATATCTAACATTATTGCCTTTAAATTATTGCCAATTGTTGCAAAAAGATTTGAAATTTTACTGAAAAATTAATTTTATAGGCGTCGATTTTAAAGTCGATAGTTACGATTTAGAAATGATCGTGAAACTAGTCAATCGCACGTGGGAGAAAACTTTGGTAGTGTTATAAAAATTAGCAAAATATTTATTTACGTTGCGTCTTGGGCAAATCCGGCATACTGCGCCTCGAATTCAAGAGATCTAGCAATTCTCTGTACTTGATATTTCCGTCTTTACGTAATTGTAATGTGTCCATTAACAGTGCGAAAAATTTTTCATTCGGATATATGCGATATTCTCTGATAATCGCAAAAACTTTATCCTCGGGTAAAACTCCGTCACATTCCTGAGACAATTTGATCGTGACGTTGAGGAAATGAAAAATTTCGACTAGCGTATATCCCATTAAGGAATTAATTATAAATTAGTATGTTCGACATGTCATTGTAGTAAATGTAGGAAATATTAATTAATAACTTGTATAGACATGTTTAATCATACTGATAAATCGATATATGTCTACTTTGTCCAGGCAAGACAAGTCATCTTCGACCTTCCCGAACGGCACTTCGGGAACGCGTTTCTTCAACATCCGACGGAAATTATTCAGATGTCGGAGGCATTGCCACCAGAAGAGAGTCTCCTCGTTTAAATCGGAGTCACGCAATGAGTCCGATACATTAAACTCATCTTTAATAGTTTTCTTACCGTGCACAATGTCAGCGTAAGAGCGCGACGTTTCCGGATCCCTTGAAAATTTATCAATTACCGTGAAAAGTTTCTCAGTTTTTCTCATCAATCATTCGACCGAGACTTATGAAGAAATAAACATATTTCTCATTCAGTTGTCTATCACAAAAGAGAGAGAGAGAGAGAGAGAGAGAGAGAGAGAGAGAGAGAGAGAGAGAGAGAGAGAGAGAGAGAGAGGAGTCTTACCCGTCGCGGGAAAGAGATTTTCGTTATTCGACGAGTCATCATAAATTGCATAGTCACTGTAAATTACACCGCCGCTACATCGCGAGATTAATGATCACTCTAACTTAAGAGCACTACCTGATACGTCCGACGGATGGTCTTGTACGTTCCGTGAAATCCGCTTGCAAACGATTAACTAACGTAATCGGCTCGCAATTGATCCACGTGAAAATTCTCTTGATTCGCGTTTCCGATTCGTGACCCTTCCGGAGCTTACCGAATCGTTGAGACTTATCGAAGGGCCTCGTATAACTGCAACGACAAATTCCGATTACAGATTAAGCGGCTAGATTATATATACCTAAATCTGCGCTCGGAACTCTCCGCCTCGGAACAACCGAGACGGATTCGTTGCGGTTATTTTGCGCATTTTATAATCGTTTCGCATTATTCACTCTCTCGTAATTTGCTCCGATGGCTCATAACGATTATGCGACTTTCGGTACAAGAAACGCGCGATATCCTCCTGCGTCGCCGTTTTTACTTCGCTTTCGAGTAGAACCTGTTTCATCGTCCTTTCTGCAACAACAGTTCAAACGGAAACGATCTCGATAATCAACGGCAGAAAAGCATATCATTTGAAATATGTTTCTTGAGGAAAGTAACTTTGAAATCCTGTCACGATGTAACTTCAAACATTCGTATTTCGTACTGGATTCTCTCGACTTTCGACTCACCGATGGCTTCACTCCTCGACGCTTAGATTTTCGGGGAAACCCTCGACGATTAACCAAAATTATTATTTACGCAATTCCCTGGAATTTCTAATCCGATTTCAAAGGGATTTACGCTCCCAAGCGTAAATTAGGGATTTTTATTAAATCCTTTAAATGCATAATTAGTCGAAATTATTATTTACGATATATTCGACACGGCAGTTTACTTTCAATTGAGATTTTTGCCTGAGAGCCCTCACAAAAAAAGTGTACAATTAATTAAAATCATCACTCGATCACGCGATCCCCTCTTGATCTTCAGCCCTCGACCCTAATTTATATTTTTGATCAAATCTTCACAGGTGTGCAGCCTAACCCTAGCCATCTGAAATGCTTATCGTCTCATCGAGATTCTTCCAAGTACGCCTTATTATCCTTCCGCGGACGATCTCACCGATGCGTCGATACACATTACACAATAGCCGGGGTATCGCGTAATGGAACACCGCGTCGGTTTTGCAACGGAATGGCAGAAACGGAATATGGCCTGGCGCACGTATGTGTGCGCATTGACGACGTAACGTTATACGCGAAGGATATATCGAATGAAGTTGTTCAGCTAGTGCCGCTTTTTTACACGCGTGCTAATTCCCCGGGATGGTTTTGCGGCGTTTAAATGAGCGACGCGCGACTCGTCGTCGATTTATTACACCGTTAATTACTGCGCGTTCGCATTACGTAATAGCGTAGGCAGGCAGGCAGGTAGGCGTGGATACGTTACGCGAGCATTCGTGAAATTGCCGATATACGTATTTTGTATCGTTCTCTCTCTCTCTCTCTCTCTCTCTCTCTCTCTCTCTCTCTCTCTCTCTCTCTCGTGTTGCTCGCGCGTTAGACAATTCACCGCTGTGCGACTCCGATCGTAACGGAAAAACGACGCGTTTTCGCTCGAGAGGGAAAGAGAGAGAGAGAGAGAGAGAGAGAGAGAGAGAGAGAGAGAGAGATGTCTCTTCGCGGGGCAGATATTGAAATCTATCGTGGAGTCATCGCGCGATTTCTGTACGAGCGATCTCCTTTTTACTTGTACGACGTCACGTCGCCGTCGCAGGACACGCACAATTGCCGCTGTTATTAACGGCCGCGGATTTATCCGGGAGAGCAAATAGCGCGAGCGCAAACGCACTCGTTGCACCACCACTTTCCGAGATTTAATATATTCTTACAGCTGCGTGTCGACCATGACGCAATAATATCGCTTGTTTCGCCTTGTTTTTCAGATGAAATATCGGGCCGTTAATTGCGGTAGCATGCAGCTCGCCTTGAACGAGTCCCGGCTCTTCCCTTGAGAATGCCGCGGGACGCCCGCGAGAATCGAAAATCGTGATCCGAATCCGTTCGGCAATTCTGAATCGCCAGGCGCGCCAGGCGACCTGGTTGATCCTGCGCTCTTATAAAAGTGTCGACAGACGCTGCGAGAGCTTTTACGCTCGGATCGCACGGACGCGATTTACAGGATCGCGAAGATGGATGTAACTTATTCGCGCGAAATGTGCCACCGAACTCTTGGAAAAGAAAGAAAGGACCAAGAATACCGTCTTAGAAAACGATAGAATGGATTTTGCGAGTTTCTATCAGAGATATACGAACTATTCGAATTCGAATTGAATCTAATGTAATTCGATTCGATTCGAGTCCGAATCCCTGTGATTCGAATCCGAATAATCCGAATAGGAATCAAATACATTATCGTTCGTGTATGTTCGAACCCTTAACTTGTAATTGACATAACTTATAATTAATAACTTAATTATAAATTATTTTAATTATTTAAATATATATTGTACTTTAAAATGATATTACAACATCAATATTCCCTTTCATATTAAAATCTTCCATCGTTATTTGCGTGTTTAATAGTCATGTTAAATTTTTTAATGATTCGACTCGATGCGAATTGGAATTTGAAAAATGAGATTCGATTCGACATAAAAATTCTTGATTCGCACATCTCTAGTTTCTATCAAAGTTGTCAGTCAAAAGCTCGGCTCGATTTTCGAGTCGAACACTTGATTTCGCTCCCTCCGATGGAAAACAAATCACTCGCCGACTGATCATCGTTGTTGAAGAATTATCGACATTATCGATTACTCGATGGATGAACTTGCTTCCACTGAACGCGATCAAATGAAATGCGATCAGAGCTCGATCAAACCGAACTCTTTCTCGCATTGCGTAATCGCGCTCAGACGAGCGACCGGATCTCCTTCACGTTCACGAGGTCGCCTGCGCGAACTCATCAGTCCCGAGGTGCGGTCGCCGATAACGAAACGTGTTGTACGAAACAACGAGGCTACGGCTATATGAGGAAACGGGATTCATTTATCATCGAGTTCGCGGCGGAATATATTGTTAATCGTCGCGTTACGCGCCAGCCTGAGCGCGTCCGCTCACTCGCACGCGCTGCTTCCTCGCCACTTTGCCGATCCTCCTCCCGGGTGCCCGGTGTATGATTAGTTCCTGATTGCGCTTGCTCGCTCGCTCGGCCGTCGGTAACTATCGGTAACGTGGAGAGGACTTGTTTCTCCAAAAGGCGGTGCACCGTCAATTCCCAGCCACCGTCGCTCGCCACCGCGAACAAGAGCATCGCGAGAACGTAACAACGGCCGCGGCAGCAGCAACAGCAGCAACAGCAG